TAAAATAATGAAGAATAGAGTTGATTAAAATAGATCATCGACTTTTTTGCATTTTCTAAAAGCCAACTTTTAACTTCTTCTTTGAAAGGTATAATATTTAGACGTTTTAATTTTGATGGTATTATTATGAATTTTGGATCCAATAAAACTATATAGAATGTTTTTCTAAAATACTAAGCTTATGTTTTTCAAGTCGTACATTGTTGATTTTGTTTCTTATATCATAACTATTTTTTGGTTTTTGCACCATTTCGAAATGATGACATACATGTTCACATAAAATTTTCATCTTGAAAATATGTGTTCTATAAAAGCTGATGAAGTCCTGCTACAAAAACTGATTCAAACCTATTCAAAACTGACCAAATAGGGATCAGATGATCATCAAAAATGAAATTTGCTGAAAAGAGAAGTGAGGTTACGACTTCAACTGCCTACATCTATGTTACGACTATTTATTCAAGACGATCTCGAACAATAAGAAGTCACAATAGTACCTGTCATTTCATTAGGGGTAATTATTCCTGAAAAGCACATCCGTTATACGTTAATAACTGACGGTATTCTAAGCATGAAGCATTCTAGAGAATTTCATAGATACCTAATTTGTAGAACTCAATTTCTATTCCACTATGCTCTTTGTCAAGTTACTGATTATATCCGGTGCCAGAGTTATGAAGTTAATTGCATTTTTCTCATAATAGGTGTTTTGTTTCCCTTTCATACTGGAAATTCAATCTACATTCATATGGTGATTCAAAATTGTTAAAACTTTGATAGGGCCAATAAGTCCTTATGACCCCTCCTCCTCCATAGCATGTTTTTGAACAATCGCAAATGTTAAAACTTGCATGTCTATACCGGGTTACACAGGAGACATGTAGCAGCCTGTAGTTTTTTTATTTGAAGAGATGAAATTTTGAAATTCACAGGGGGTATATAATAAATGGTAGCGCACTTTACGAACTTAACGACAATTTTTTTCAACTACCTGTTTGACCGCAAGTGACCCCAACTTTTTTTTAATGTCACTTTTTACATTTCTTCGCCTTGAAATTCTCTATCGAACCATGTATCACAATGTGGCATTTATTTCTTAATTTGCTGTTGAATTGCTTTTTATTAAAAAAGAATGAGTTGGTTGTGACATGAATTCGATGATATATCGACACTTGGTAGGCTTTGAAATTCAAAGATCATTAGTAAACCGATATTATTCAAAATGTTTTGATATTCTGATCAATGTCTGCAGATTGTCAATAGCTTGTTTGAGTCAAGATGAAAACTTTCGAAAATAACTCATGATATTGAGGAATCTAAGATAGGAACATATTTTTTCGAATTCAGCTACTCGTACAGAAACTATCTGTCTTTTATTTTCGCCATGTACCTATCCCATGATCTTCACATTTGGAATAATAAAACTAAAATTGTTCCTCTTATACGATGATCCACAGGGCTATCAGTCTATTTTTTCATAACTATTTCACTTAGTAGGCGGTGTACCTACACAAAATGTTTTATGTGTTTGACAGTTAATCGATTGCATCAATCATTTTTATTCTTCATTTGTGTGTTGATTAAAATTGCATATTAACAATAGAGACGGAGAATGTATTCAAGAAGCGAAAAAGTCGATATGTTGTTAATATGCAATTTTAATCAACACACAAATGAAGAAGAAAAATTATTGATGCAATCGATTAACTGTCAAATACATAAAACATTTTGTGTAGGTACACCGCCTACTAAGTGAAATAATTATGAAGAAATAGACTGATAGCCCTGTGAATCATCGTATAAAAGGAACACTTTTAGTTTTATTATTCTAAATGGGAAGATCATGTGATAGGTACATGGCGAAAATAAAAGACAGATAGTTTCTGTACGAGTAGTTGAATTCGAAAAAATATGTTCCTATCTTAGATTCCTCAATATCATGAGTTAGGTTCGAAGGTTTTCATCTTGACTCAAACAAGCTATTGACAACCTGCAGACATTGATTAGAATATCGAAACATTTTGAATAATATCGGTTTACTAATGATATTTAAATTTCAAAGCCTACCAAGTGTCGATATATCATCGAATTCATGTCACAGCCAACTTATTCTCTTTGAATAAAAAGCAATTCAACAGCGAATTAAGAAATAAATGCCAGTTTGTGATACATGGTTGGATAGAGAATTTCAAGGAGAAAAAGATAGACTGAAGAAATGTACAGGGTGACATTTAAAAGAAAAAAAGTTGGGGTCACTTCCGGCAAACAGGTGGTTGAAAAAAATTGTCGTTAAGTTCGTTAAGTGCGCTACCATTTATTATATACCGCCTGCGAATTTCAAAATTTTATCTCTTAAAATGAAAGAACTACAGGCTGCTACATGTCTCCTATGTCACCCGGTATACTATAGATAGATAGATCATGCAAGTCACACTGTATGTTCCTGAACACGAAGCTGAACTGTTCAGACGTGACTCCAACAAATCCAACAATTCTGTTTGGCCGAAAATGACTATATGATATGCAATCAGCAATTATTATTTAATAGCTAGATATTTACGTAACCTAGTAGGAAACGCGTCATTTTGTGCAAGCGGGATCCCGCAAAACACGAGAGTTAGGGCCTATTTATGCATCATTGTCTTAGTCTTAGCATAGGTCTTAGTCTTAGTCCCAGTCTTTGTATTAATCATGAAATCAAGTTATGAGCATACATTTCAATAGGTGAATTCATGCAACATTTTTAGTCTCAGTCTTAATCATAATTATTGAATCATGACCTTGAAAGATACAAACTTTCAAGTTTTATGCTTATGATTGAGACTACATACGAAATGCGCATGTGTTGACCCGTCAACATATTTGACAATCACATATGACTTTAAATTTTGTGTTTGTCACCAAAAAATCAATGGCATTCTTCGCTGTGTCAATAATTGATTACATTTGATAACAAATATAAAAAAAATCATGAGCCTGGAAGAAGGAGCCCTAACAGATTTGGTGGAAAAATTTTCCCATCTTTGGGACAAGAAAGACTCAAAATGCAAAGATAAAATTGCAATAGAGAATCCCTGGAAATCGTCAGAATTAGCTCCAAAACAAAATATTAGAATTAGCAGTTGACATTATTGATACCTCATTTGACACTTCTGACGGATTGTCAATTGTCATATCATAATTCTTAAGCCTAAAGACTGTGATGCATAAGGGTCCAAATATGATGAGTTAATATTCTATCCACCTTGGTTGAGACTATGATTAAGACATGATAAATAGGCCCTTACACAAAACGCGTTTCTCAACTATAGTTACGTACAATATTTCTTCTAATTTTGATGAAAAATTTGACTTGAACACAAATAATAATGACCAGTTCTACAAGAGCTCTACCGAGTATGTATAGAATTTATAGTAGGCAAGTTGACTTCGCCCGTCACTTTTGAGTATCTGTCAAACAATAATATATATTCTTTGGTAAAAGTTCATGACAAATTTTTCAAAGAAAGGAATGTTCGAAGTCATCTTCAAAAATTTTAATGAGTTGTTACACAATCAGAAGGGATATGTTTCGATCTTATAAAAGACCATCTTCAGCCTAATTAAAGGTTCTACAATACAAAGAGATTGATGTAAAAAAATTACATTATTTGTACTTGACTTACTTAGAGTTGACAAAGTGAGATGCTGATAGCGGTAAAATTGTTGCCAATGCCCATAGTCGAAAAATCGAGTTTATAAGAACTTAAACGGGTTCTCAATAAATGAAGAGCTTCGTTCCCTGAGAGCGTATACAGTTTATTGTGGAAATTTCATATACAAAAATGGTAAAACAATTATCTATGAATATATTATACCACCGAATAGAGTATAAAGTTGAGACCTATTCGACAGTTGTATCAGCTATTGTTACATGCCTTTGCTCATTGTCGAAAGTTCATGTTTTTCTCTGTTGTCGAATTTGTTTAGCAATTACCTTCATATATATCATTTTGGTATATGAAATTTTCACAATGAACTGTATGCGCTCTCAGGGCACGAGGCCCTTCATTTATTGAGACATTAAAATTTGTGAAGATGATTTCGAGCATTCCTTCCTTTGTGGTCACAAATTAGCGACATAGTTCACTAAATAGACAGAATAGACTCGTTTCATATTTTCATTAGTGGAAAATGGCTGATTCAAGTTCAAATTTTCATAGTGATATCGAGGAAAGCAGCACAAAATGCACTATTATTTTCGTCCATCCATACATTCTTATTACGTAACTGGTGTTGAAATAAAAATTCCGTCACCAATTATGTAATATTTTACTTTACGCAACTGGTTATACGTATTGTTGTGACAAAGCTGATTGTGAGTACTGTGTAATCATACTAATGTTATGTCCATAATTTTCATAAGTGTATTCTATCATAACTACGGAATGATGGACCTTAGTTCAAACTGGCAATTATACATATCGACAAGAAATGCAATATAATTGTCATATTGAACTGACATTTGCCAATTTGGATTGACATTTATGTTCAATGACATAATGAATGACCATCAGTTTGAACTAACAATCGTACATAATTTTTAATTTCAACTGATCAATCATGTTACCTTGGAAAATTCAGTGTTATGAAAACTAACGATATGACCAGCAACATCTTGTTGATATTATGTTGAACCTGTACAGACATGGCATATCTTGACGATGTTTTAATGCCTGGAAAAAATTAAGACTATGAGCAACTGTGAGAATAGAAAGCCAACATATTTAGTGTTCGTCATTTTATAATTAATCAGTATCTAGACTTTTCCAAAGAACTCCTTTATGAAATTAGAGGGAAAAAGTGTCCCTTGAGTTATTACCATTTTTATAAAAAAATGCGATTAAATTGATCGTTTATCCCAACAACCAGAACGTATTTTATGTATGAATATATGAGCTTGATCTACGAATGATTAAATGAGGATTAATTATCACAATCTTTGGAAGTAACACAGAATATTATTCATTATGCTTACTCATACGACTATTCCTTCTGCTGTGAATATTCTTAACCGTGATTTTCTTCAGTCTTTCAACGTTCAGGTCCGGTGAGCTATGGGTTTCCTTTGACTTTTTGGTAGAACTAGTGCTCTGAAAAATACAGAGAGTTAGTGATCTCCATTTTTTCTTCTGTATATTTCTTCTATTAGAAACACATTCATCTGTGCTCACCTGCGAATTGTTCATCTCGTATAATGCGCAATTCTCCGACAGCATAACTATTCCACCCAGAACCCCTCTTTGCGTATTCTTCCTGAAACGCAGCAAACTGCGAGCTATCAAAGCATTCATCCCGACTATAAGCACTACCGGCACCAAGAAAGTAACAATGGTGTCCACATAATTGACATACTCCGCCAAGTCCACATAATCCGGGTTCAAATGGCACCTTTGGTCCACCACGCTAGCGATCCAAAAGACGTAAGAGTGCAATAAAAAAGCCACACACGTCAAACTCAGCACGATCATCTTTGCCCTGGACACGGTGCAAACGTACGGTTTCCTGAGCGGGTACCGCACCGCAATAAACCGCTCAACAGTGAACGCCACTATGAACCACACGCTCAAAAACGAACACACGTACGTTAGGTACACCCACAGCTGGCAGAACCCGTCTTGGTGGAACCAGTCGACAACTCCATTGGAGCTGCAGTACACCAGAAGAATACAAGCCAGGTACCCAGAGTCGGTCACCGCGAGTGCAGCTAGGTAGTAGCTAGAGCTCCGCACCTTGAGGTGAGTCGTCAGCAGTACCAGAAACGATAGGAAGTTGCCTACAACACCGACCACTACGATGACCGGAACGTAGTACAAGTTCAGGTATTCCAAATAAAACCTCGTGTTGATTATGAACGAGTCGCAAGAACTGTTCATGCAAACATCCTGGTTGGTTTCCAGGAGATTCCTGCGCGTCTGGAAATTCATCGTTCGCGCGATCATCTGCAACAGGTAGGTATGTGGCTGGATCTGTGCGGTGAATATGTCTGGCATCGGGAATACACTGGCGCGAGTCCTATAAAGCGTGCCTGTGTGAACGACATAGCAGCGCAAGCGTCCGCAAAAAATATCTCATTCGTTTCGTACTCAATTAATTGTACAAGTGAAACTAATTAGGTGTAAATTTCATGTTATTGTCGTTAAATGATCTCGAGGGTGTCGCGTGGTTTGCCTGAAAGCCGAATAATCAACTACCTTCGATACTAGAGTAAATGAGAAATGCGTTATCATCGCTCCTGTAAACAATTATTTGATTATATCGCTGTAAATTGATGATTAACGGTTCCAGTGCTACGAAATTTTGAAAGAAGCTATGACAGCGATAAAAGGACAGCCCCAGCCTAGTGGATATCCTTTCCAAGCAGTCCAGACTTACGTGCTGAATCCCAAGTCTATAACTATGGGTCAGCTGTACGGAGAATTCGATTTGCAGACTCATGAATGGTAAGTAACTGATTAAATGGTCTCACCAAATGGTCCAGAATCAAAAATATCCATCTGTCATACTCATTCGGCCTCAACATGTGGCATTTATATTGAAAATCGGACGATGATTACGATTTCATGGGAAATGCGAAAAAATAAATGTCAATATCGTTTTTCTTGTAACGATCTGATTATTGTCTTGTTCATTTCGATCAAATAAGTTCTATAAAAACATATATTAACAAAGAATACATGTGGAATTATTCATGATCTCCATTATCAATGTGACATGCTGGCATGTTTTCATTAGAAAGTTAGTACTAATCTCTGATTTCCGATTTCATATCGAAAATCCGACGGCCATACCATGCAGGCGCAACTTGCATTGGTTAAAAATACTGCCTATGGGCCTATTCAGATGGATAGGAATCCTTATTATTATAGTCAATGGAGTCTCAAGCAATCCTCCTGAGCCACTCCCCTCTGAAAATCTCCCAAGCCACACCTTGCTAAGCCACTCCCTCAAGACCAACTACGTCACTATGGCCTAGAACCGGCTTGAACACACTACTAATGAGAAGTATCGCATTTCAGTACTCTACGAGTTGTATTATTTTGTGTCGCAGGACTGATGGTATCCTACCCTGTCTGGTTCGGCAAGGCATCACGGCCGAAGACAAAGACAAGCGTTGGTACGTGTTCGACGGACCTGTCGATGCCGTCTGGATCGAGAACATGAACACCGTCCTTGACGACAACAAGAAGCTTTGCCTGAGCAGCGGCGAAATCATCAAATTGCGTGACACGATGACGATGGTGTGTACTGAAATCCATGGCTTTTTTTCTTTCGCTTACCGATAAAACCTAGGTAAGCAATATCGAAAGGTAACGGCCATTCCCATAGCAGAAAATTGCGAACCTAGCATCGATTCCAAATATAAGAGATAAGGCCTTGCTGAAATATAAAAAAACAAGCTGGAAGTTGATTTTCGTTTCTACAAAGATATGAGAAATTATACAAACAAAGCAATCAATAGGGAGAAAAAAGCATTCTTTCTATTTCAGTTTCAACAAAACAATCCAAAAAAGATGTGGCGTACTCTCAAACAGAATAAGTAATTTCTGATAAAGATGTGGATATTCCCGAATCTCTGAAAAATGTGAATGAAATTAATAATTTTTTCATCAACTCAATACCCATCATAAAACCACCAGACACTCTCATGGAATTCTATAAAAATAATTGCTTGGCTGATTCTATTTCATTTTTCAAAGAAGTTAATGATTTTTTTGTATATGAATCGATATGTAAAATCAAAACAAATGCAACCAGGAATGATAATTTGAATATTTCTCTGATGAAACTATGTTGCCCATTCATTATAGAATACATCACATATATAATGAATTTCTGTCTAAGAAAAAGTGTCTTTCCAGAATCATGGGGTAGTGCTCTTGTAAAAGTACTGCCTAAAAAATCAAACCCGGTCGAGTATAAGGATCTGCGCCCTATAAGTATACTTCCAGCTATTTCTAAAATATTGGAGAGGGCCGTCGAGTTTCAACTTTTGAAACATACTGAGAAATATAATGTGTTACAATCTGTTCAATCTGGATTCAGAAAAGCAACAGCACTGCTACATGTTGTAGATGATATTGTCAGAGCAACAGATGACGGAAATTGTACCGCTCTGGCCTTTGATACTATAAATCATGAGTTGTTGATATCCATACTACATTACATTGGCCTGTCAGCTGCAGCTATAACATTGATTAGAAATTACCTTAATAAAAGAACTCAAAGGGTTGCAATTGGTGAGGTGCTCTCATCTCTACTTCCTCTTCAGCGGGGAGTACCACAAGGGTCAATTTTGGGACCAATTTTATTTGCAATCTACACTTCAAATCTCATCAATAATCTGAATGAATGTAAAGTGCACTGTTACGCAGATGATACCCAAGTTTATTACAGCTTTCCTCCTCAAAGTGTAAAAGTTTCCTGTGAAATTATCAATAAAAATCTGAATGGGTTTGTTAAAACTGCCACAGACCATTGTCTACTGTTAAACTCTCGTAAGTCTAATGTGTTACTGTTTGGACCCAAAAAAAAAATGGTGAGCCAATTCAGCTGATAGAGGAAGCTAAAAATCTTGGGGTCATCCTTGATCATACTCTTAGATTTGTCTTGACTTCATTTGGTGATGAATGTAGTTGGGTGGTGAAATGATCAAAACTCAAAATCTCCCGTCAAAAAGCCAAGCTAGTAGCTGAGTTACGACCTATAGGAGGGTCAATAACATCTGAGTTGCGACAATATTATTGTTTTTTTCGCAACGACGTCCTGTGGAGAGGGTGCTGAAGTGTCTTGGCAGAACCTCTTAAATATTTAGAAGTAACACTGGGTTTTGCTTTGGGAGACTCTTGATAATAATAACCCATCATTTCCGATGCATATCTTAGGTACTGGATTTTTTCCAGCGAGTTATGAACCCTAATAACACTACATTGTACCCTAATAGCACTCCATATCCGATTATATCTCAGGTGTTCGAGGTGGCCGATCTAGCCGTAGCCTCACCAGCAACGGTGTCCAGGTGTGGCATGGTATACCTGGAGCCGGGTGTTCTCGGGCTACAGCCTTTCATCGAGTGCTGGCTGAAGAGGTTGCCTGAGGTGAGCTGTTTGATAGTATATCATATGAATTGAAAGAAATCAGAATTGGGTCACAGATAATTGAATATAGGGTGTTCCATTGAAAAATCTATAAGTTATAGTGTGGCATCTCCAAAACCATACAGCGAAGAAAATGTTTGAATAGGTACGCAATTGGATTCTGCTCGAAGTTTCCTGACAGACGTAAGGAGCTTAGCACAGGGGGCTATAGCGACACGGATTCCACTTTGCTTTGAGTCATTTAAATAGCGAATCACTATCGGCATCAACAGTAAATGACTCCACAGTACATTTTTCATGTAGGTAGGAAGGAAAATAAAACATAAAAAAAGTTATAGGTTGAATAGAGATTTGAATCCGAGATCTCTCCATGTAAACGCACGTATTAAAGTCGTTCATTTCATTTCAGTTTGTAATACAACACATACAAGGTAACTCACGGTCGATGGTACGTTAGACGTTTATGGAGAACGGGACAGGATCATTCTGAAATTTTGATTACTCACGTAGTTGCTCTTGGTCTATCGATCTAAAATATTTTCAGCTCTGCGGCGTTGCGGCTTCTATCGAAAAGTAGCAACAACTTTGTTATTTTAAATGGAACACCCTGTATTTTATTGCACTTTCAGATTTTCTCTGAAGAGCTGATTTCAGCAAATACGTGAGTAACCAAAATTTCAGAATGATCCTATGTCCCGTTCTCCATAAACGTCTAACGTACCATCGACCGTGAGTTACCCTGTATATCTACATCAACATTATTACAATATAGAATTCCAAGTACAAGTTGTGTTTTGTACATGAGGATCCTCCGCGTGGTACAGCTAGAGGTGGCTGGTGTTGGCCAAGGAATGTGAACGTACCTATTTGCGAGGTGTTCGTCACAGAGGCCTATCTACTTGGGCTGAGCCATTTATATAGGTAGTGTCGCTGAGGATACCCAAAGGGTGGGGGAGTCAATCATTCGTTATCAGTGGTATGTGTTGTGTGGAATTGGAGGAAAATAAAATTGAAACAATAAAATCCTCCTCGTCGTTTGGCTCGGTCATCGTCCACCAATATTCTAATGAAGGGTAGCTTGTCACGTAACAACCCACTTACTCCCGCAGGACATGTAGGCCCACCAAGTGCCGAGTGTTTCGTTGCTCGGCCACCCCTTCATTTTCTTCCTGGGAGCTTTCTGATGACTGCGCCCCAGTGCGAAGTCGGCCACCACCTAGAAGTGTCTGGCATTTCGTGGTGTTCTCTAACAGGCATTCCAGAAGGGGGTAGCATTCTCGCCATATCCTGGCATTCATTGTCGGAGATCTTTCTGCCGATTGCGGATCTCAAGCAATCTCTTCGTCATTACTTTCGTGCGGCATACCCAATGTATTTGACCCTTGTAGTCATGATCTACCCCAGGCAATAAGGATTGGAACGAAATAAGACATAGGCAAATTATTCCGATACACCCCTTAGCTTTGGTTCGACCACGAAGACGGTTTTCATCACTGAATTCAACTGCTTGACTCTGTACGGAAACAATCACCCACCGAAGTGAAGGTGTCCAACTCATGGCCACAGACGACTTTCTACAAGCCCGAGCTGGCTTGAAGCTTCAAAAGTCTCCCTTGTGTTTAGATGGAACGTCCAAGAGAGCCGGTAAAAGACTGAAGACTAAAGAAAACCGTCGTCCTTATATACTCTACGTGTGGGTCACGTAATAGGCTCGGTCAGATAATACCGACACGCCCCGTCCACTTTTGGCTGTTAGGCCAATCGGACGGCATGGGAGTGTATAGTTTATGCAAAGTCAGTTGGAACAGACGACTTTGCAAAGACTATACATACATCTGGCCGAGTTCAGTGCCAGATCATCGCTCTTTGTGCAATCTTGAAACTATATTACTCTCGTTTTTTTGGAAGATAGCGATGTTTAGATCTTCTCCGGAGCTTCAGTCTGGTTTCAAGCCTATATACAAAACCACCGAACATAAACAGAGACTATGTTCGGTGACAAAACATATTCATACACGTCACCGAGCGAACGTTATACGCATGCGGAAGTCTCAATGCGAAGTGGAATCCGCCGCTTTAAGTTCACACTTCACAGCAATCACAGCAAAACACTATTTGTAATAACTTCGTAGATATAAAACGATGAAACGTGAGGGGCTCTATCTATATCTTCAATAATCAATAACAACCGAGAAACATGGCAGTCTCCACCTAAATGGGATGCACTGTACAATGAACCAGAACAATAATTATTCCACAATTGTTTAAAAAAAATAGGAGGAATAATATTATAATCCATTTCAAGGTGAACAACCGAGATACCTGACAGTCTCAATCAAAATGGGAAGCAAGCACTGTTACATAATAATTATTATACCCGATTTCGATTCCTATCAGACATAAAATGTCGTATTCGTCTTCGCGTATTTCGCTCGAATTCAATCCTTCACTTGCAGATGTCCAAGCAATTCGTTCGTCTTCAGTTATAATAACAACTCATTCTCCCTACCGCCTATTATTCATTCATAATACGGCAACGGAAGATTGAAATTAACGAAAAACTGAACTTGAATGGAACTTTTGATACAATTTTCCATTCTCCAATAACAGCACAGCTCATTGTTTTATGATTGAACTGCGTTTCTAATCCATTGCAGATTCAGTTTCACAATTCATGACATGACAACAACAAGATATACAAAGTGGTGCAAGATCACTTTTTCAACAGCCTTCATCGCTTAAGTGTAAAAGATGTTTCATTTCTTCGAACAGGATGATATAGCCCCAAGCAAACCGAGAGCGACTGATGGCTCTTGTGGACCGAAACAGTAATATCTGCGATCTAGTTATCTGCATTGATTTCAGTTGGCCAAGCAATTCAAGGACGACCTCAGGGATCTGTTCGCGTACTACGCTTTGCCAGCCATCGATCTGGTGCGTAGCCAACTGAGGGAAATCCTGACGTCCGTCGACTCGGCCCTGCTGACCACATTCCTTCGGCTGATGGACTTCCGGATGGGCCCTCTGGCAGGCAGAGATAACAAACCACCTCCCGCACCACCGTTCCTCGCTCTGATTAGTGAGTTCGCGATTTTCACTGTTTCTTATAGTGAATTTCATTCGTAAAATTCGTACATTCATTTCACTTGATTTTTTGGAATTTTCTCTCTTCGTTTCTATAAAATAAAAATATTCGTATTATTTCAATATATTTGTAGGAGGACACATCAAATGATTCGCCCCAAAATGTCACTGATGTGTTTAACAAATTTTTCTATCAGGGAGTCTAAAAGAATACTCCTGTAGCTTGTCTGTACAAATGTTTGAAGGAAAGAAATATAGATATATTGAAAAAATATCGAATTTTTACTTATCTTTGGACGTAAATGCAAAATATTCCTCTTTGAAAGTTGTGCTGCTTATAGTTTGACACTTTTCAGTGTCATACTGATGTTGGCATCTTGTTGGCATATGAATGAGTGATTTTAGTCTACAAATGAGTTACTGGATGTTTTCATTAATTGATCTCGAATCTACCATTTTCATGTTAAGTTTTCAGTACCTAGTGAATACCATGTTCGATCTATATCAACTGAACAGGAAGCAATGCTATTGTCTCCGTTTAGAAGAATGCAAGCGGATTCCTTGATTTTTCTTTTATGGTTGTTATCTTCCTTTCCTATGATTTTGATATTATTCCACTCCGGACGGAGTAAGGTTAGATTGTTTGGAAATAGTAACCTCCTTTCTTATGTAGAAGAAATTACAATTACTGTTGAGGCTGATAGTGATTTACTATTTCCATCAAGGTTTATCTCAAGATCAACCGAAAAATTTTTTACACTTTATTCTGCGTCAAGTAAGGGTATTGGTAATTTACCTACCAATAATAGGTAACAGTAGTAATAATAGTAGTACTCCTATGTGAGTATGGGCGCAATGGCGCAATCTACTTTTGAGCACATGAGCACAAACGTGAAAATACAGGAGAAACAGTGAAAATGGTCGATTCTGATTGGTTATGGAGAACAAGACTGGAATAGTAACTTATAATATTATTACACGAAATCTTTTTTTGTCGAAGAATTCAGTTGCATGGAAATTGAACGAAAAAAATTGCCTTCGAAAAATTGAATGGTATTTGTGATGATTTTGAATAACGAATGATTGCACACAATAAGTAGAATAAAAATAGAAAAGGTATCTAGGATCCTTTTTGATATTTGCAGGGGGCCTTTTGGTACCATGGGTGATATTCTCGGTGGTGTGGAGCATAGGGTGCACATGTGACAACGATGGCAGGGTAATTTTCGACCGGTGGATTGTAGACAGGATGAAGGCAAAAGGTCATAAGCCGCTTCCACCTGATCAGGGTTTGATTTACGATTACAGGTGTGAGATTGCAATAATTAATTTTCGCATTTATTTAAAATTTCTCTCTTTATTCGTTCAGATTACATGATGGGGGCTTCACTGATGCTACGAATGACAATGAGCCTGCTCCTCCCACTTGGAGGAGTTGGATGGAGAATATGGGCGAGTACAAAATAAGTGTCGACATGAAATATTCAGGTAGCTATGACAAATTGATATGAACTTTTTATAAAACTGTTATATCGTTAATATAGGTCTACTTTGTTTCATCATTTCATTTCATGTACATTTTATATTATTTCAACATAAATTGTTTGAATGTTTATATCAATACCGAGATCAATACATATATATTTTGAATTGCTGAATCTTTGGTTTCCACCTCAACCTCATTTTCGGGTACCTACATTTATTAGATATCCTAATAAGGTAATTCTAATTTGAATGGATCATAATTATCGGACGATCATTGATTATTGGTTGATAACTTCCAACGCGGGACGCGTCATATAGCTTTGACATTCTTTGAGTATGGAAACCAAAGATGCATCCCCTCTTCAGAACAGTTAGTTTTAGAGTGTTGGGTATTGATTATGAAGTAAGACGTAATTCAAGAAAGTTAACCTGTATCATCTAATGCTGAAAAGTTGATTATATACTTGAAGTTACACCCGATTTGAGTATCATGGTATACAATCCCTAATTACCCCAACAAAACGTTGGATACTGCATGACGATCTAGTGTCTAGGGGCTTTTCAACCACGTCATACAGTGTATGTAGAACCATGTCCTTAATCTATGGTAGAACTAACGCCACTAGACTTTTTTTTATAAATATATATCTGCAAACGCTTCGTTGTCGATCTTAAAGTTTGTTTGATTTCTTATTCTATTTTAGGTAATATTTGAAAACATGTAATTCGTTAATTCGTTAAAAATTTTAATTCAATCTAGTCAATTGAAAAATATGTTTTGCGTAAAAATGACATGAGACAAATAAGTTTATAAACAAAACAAAGAACTCAATTAGTATTTCAAAATTTATTGTATATGTCGAAACAATTATGTACTGTTTTAGAAGAGTTTTGTATTTCATTATCTTATCTAGCGGGAACGCAGGTATACTAACTTCACAAATGCTAAGATCGTAATGACGGCGTGGACACTGGACAGTGATCGCGTTGGGCGAGGGCACTCGAATAATATCGGAGATGTCCGAACGGAAAACAGATCTATAACTACAGGTGAGCTGTCACCTGCAACAATCGACTTGATAGATTGTCTTTATCGATGAGTTCGCTCAGAGCAAGTGGTCTTGTGTCAGAAAAATAATTTAATAATAGTGAGTATTCGTTAACCTAGCACTAGTTTAGTGTTCACTTAGAATCAGCCAACTCTAAATACATATCGATTTGGTTCATACCAACAAGTGTTCGGATCACTTACAGCAGAAACATTGTTCCAGAAATATAGTTTTGCCTACTGCAAGTACCTCATTTTCCTACAGTTGGTGAAATTGTTCTTGTCACAATCGACTTTTTTTCAAGAAAACGATCTACATGGCCGAGTTTTCTCAGTGTAGATTCTTACAATCACTCGGCATACTGTATGATGTGAATCCTAGAACGTAACTTATCTTCGAAATTCAAAACTGAAAGAGCTGTTAGGAAAAAGAGAAAAAATCTTGAAATTTTAGATCGTATTGTGGATCGGCAACGAAGCGTTTGCGGACACATGATCATATAGGACAAAAGTCTTATTTTGATCTGAAAATAGGAAATGTATGTCACAATGATGATTAAGTAATGGTTCTTCTTTCTTTTCAAGACATCGAAATTCCAACTGTGAATAATGTACGAAACTCGGAACTCCTTGGAACGATTTTGTATAACGAGGACAACGTATTATGCATCGGCCCAACTGGCACTGGAAAAACTCTGACTGTGATAGCGAAGCTCAGCAAAAATATGCAAAAGAAGTTTATTTGCGATTTCATCAATTTTTCTGCTAGAACTACTGCGAATCAGACCCAGGTGAGCTAATAGGTATATTCTGCTTCACAATAGAGAGTTGAAGTGTTGTCATGAACGTTAACGTAAACGTAGAAATTGACAGCTAAGCATGCGCATTTTCCAATTCTTCACGTTTGCGTTGTTAGTGGGCTTACGGGTGTACGTTATCTCACGTTCATTCACGTATACCTTGAATATCAACGTGCGGTAACCAAACTATACTCGAAATATGCCGATAAGTTGAAATTATCAACTTCGGGGTCCCCAAGGAGTTCTGCATCAAGGAGTCCTCTAATTTTGACAGGAATAAATGTTCGAATCTAAACACACAACCAAAAATGACCAATACAAACCGAAAACAAAATGTATTATTACGTTATGATGACAGTGACGACCAAAGTGGCGACTTCAACTCAATTTAACGACAATATCTCATAGATTGAGGGAGAGAGACTATGTAAGCGTAATATATCAATCAACAGCGTAATATATCAATCAACGCTATGAGTTGTTCTCTTGATATTGTTACCATAATCGTTCGGGCTTGGTCTTTCACAAACAACGATTTATTCAAAATACAAACACCACAGTCTATACACGATACAGAATTACAGTAACTACGTATATAACTCGAAAAACACTTCCAACTCATTCATCAGTTTCTCTCGCTAGTCGTTCTCTGAATTTACTGCTCGCCGTCGGGCTGCCTGCCGAGGCATTCTGGCGTTTTCATAACGTTTCGAGATCTTTCGCCAAATATTCAAATCACTGTCGATCTAAATAAAAACCTAGTAGGCTACCTAGTACGAGGAGGTACAATACTTGCCTACTAACTACCTAACTAGGTTGTCATCTAGGACGACAATGTTCAAATACCTTCTACGAACCCTCGGTCGATGCGGCCTTTTCCTAGAGGAACGCGATGATTTTAGCACCAAAAAATCGACCGAAATATTCTTAAAAAATAGTTCACTCGCCTATTGTCGATGTAGCAGCGGCCCCACATAGGTCCTCAAGGGAAATAAGCAGTCTTATTCAGTCTATAAGCAGAATAAATCTCTAACTATTTACTCTGAGCTGTAGCATTTATTTATTTATTTATTTATTGAAAATGTTACTTCCAGTCAGAATCAAGTTCTGGTATAAGGAAGTATAGTTAACAATAATACCTAAAACTATACAATTATAATAAACTGATGAATAATAAAATATTTGAAAACATTAATTATTAAATTTTGGCAAATCATTTCATATTGGTGAGCAAAAATCAATTTGAATATGAATCAAAAGTTGGAAAAAAAAAAATAAAAAATAAACAAGTCATCTGTTCTGTATTCCAGGATCTAATCGATTCAAAGTTGGATAGGCGGCGTAGAGGTGTTTTCGGTCCGCCAATAATGAAAAGGCAAATATTTTTCATTGACGACTTCAATATGCCAGCGTTGGAGGTATTCGGAGCCCAACCACCAATAGAACTCATCAGGCAATGGATGGATTTCGGAGGTAACAAACAAGAACACTCGGAAATTTCGTTCGGTTTACAGCTATTTTATAGACCGACTGCGAAGTTGATATACAGGGTGATTGACTATGGATTTCTCGACAGCTGATATCTCGAAAACGAAAAAAGAAATTTGAAATTTGGAAAAAGGTACTTGAATGAGATGTCATTTCCTTCTAGAAAATGTGTTCTCTGCTTGATTTTATCATTTCATATACAGGGTTCGTGAAAAAAAATTTTTTTTTAAATGGAACCCCCTGTATATTATCGCATATTTCGAAAGAGCTATCTTTCCTGATTTCGAAGATATATACTTTTCATATATTGAATCGAGGGCTTGACGAAATATCAGCAAAATTAAATATTAATATTTGGTCCAAGTTAGCTATGGTTGAAATAGAATGAGATGATGAATAAGTGAATTGACATTTGGCCAACATTCCAGTGACATAAGTGCGCAAAATTTCGACAATTTTTTCACGATGCCATACCCACTGGAACAAAGAAGAGATATTTTGGAGTGCTATTTTTCAGTTAATAAAAATCTTGCTGAAACACTTACACTTATACTTACTTATATTTAATCTTTCAGATATGACAAGACAGAATTCAATCCGCTTCTCATTATCATCATAATTGAGTTTGTGGCATGGTCTAATTCTGAAATCCCTATATTTATATTTCTTCAAGGTATGTTGAACAAAATAATAGCTGAAACCAAACTCTCTCACTGCATTTCTTATTGACCGTGAAGGATCCTCAACAAAATACTGGACTACAAGAAGTTCCTCGTCTTCGTTGTCTTGCCTTCTCACTATTCTCTTGATATTCGACAAACTGGAAGTTCTGTCAAATTTAGCAGCCAAATACTTTACATAATTCTTAGTTGGTAATCTCCTGCCTGGATAACTCCTCATAAACTTATGAAGTGTTTCAGCAAGATTTTTATTAAATGAAAAATAGCACTCCAAAATATCTCTTCTTTGTTCCAGTGGAAATGGCATCGTGAAAAAATTGTCGAAATTTTGCGCACTTATGTCACTGAAATGTTGACCAAATGTCAATTCACTTATTCATCATTTCATTCTATTTCAACCATAGCTAACTTGGACCAAATATTGATATTTAATTTTGCTGATATTTCGTCGAGCACTCGATAGAATATATGAACATTATATATTTTCAAAATCAGGAAAGATAATTCTTTCCAAATATGCGATAATATACAGGGGGTTCCATTTGAAAAAAAAAATTTTTTTCACATACCCTGTATATGAAATGATAAAATCAAGCAGAGAACACATTTTCCAGAAGGAAATGACATCTCATTCGAGTAACTTTTTCCAAATTTCAAATATCTTTTTTCGTTTTCGAGATATCAGCTGTTGAAGTCGAGAAATCCATAGTCAATCACCCTGTACATATTCATTCATTGTCCTTTATTTGATTTCAATATGTTGTTTTATTATCGATATCTAGTATGAACTTGAATTATTTTCAGTTTATTTGTTGGTTTATAACTTTTCTCTATTAATTTTTCTTGCGGATGTGTATATAGTTACATAATTTCATTCTTCTTCATCAATGAGAAACTGTAAGTTCTTGAACAATGGAGTCAAAGGGTTAGTTTTTGCGTCAGTTATACCCTACCTCCAAGCTAAGTACCTATTCCAAATCTTCTCTTTTTTTTGTTCAGGGTGGTACGACAGAAAAAATATAGGAGAATTTCGTACGATAATCGATGTGAACTTTGTGGCAGCGATGGGTCCCCCGGGAGGGGGCAGAAACCCGGTGACAGCTCGTCTCCTACGCCATTTCCACTTTTTAACGTTCCTCGAGATGGAGGACGACAGCAAGGTAAACATTATCCGGTTTTTAGCATTGGCAAACGTTTGCGAAAAGAATGTAATATTTTTCATTCGATAGATCTCGTCGAGACCTCCCATTTGATATCTAACACTATACAGGGTTCCTGTGACTCGATGCCCATAGTTTAAGGGCATTTTCCTAGAACAATTTCAAGTCGAAAGTGCATTTTATCTAAAACTCGATGGTAAAAAAATTATGAGCAATCAGTTTATATGGAAAACTGTTCTTCTGAAATTAGCAACATCCAGTTTGGGGTCCCTCAGGGCTCTATCCTTGGGCCACTTCTATTTACCATCTATGCCAATGATATTTCTCATTATATGAGCCTAGCTAAATGTATTTGTTATGCATATGACTGTACTGTTTATGTATCTGATCATAGAATTGACGATTTAGACAATACTTCCAAAATTTTCCAATCAAGCTGAAACATGGTTCATTTTCATCTGTCTGAAAGTCAATAACAATAAAACTCAAAATATTGTATTCTCTACTGATGACGCTATTAGCATAGGTTCTGAAGTTAGACTACTTGGTATTTTCATGGATGATAAAATGAAGTGAAGTTGAGCTCCAGTATTTACCTATTAAAAAAGTTGAGTAGTTTTGCCAAAACAACAGTATTGAAAACTGCATATTCTGAATTGTTTCATTCCCACATTAAATATGGTATAACTATCTGGGAAAACGCAGGTGAAAATTCAGACTCCAAAAAAAGAGCCTTGAGAATAATTGCGAATGCGAATTATAGAGATAGTTGTCGTCCAATATTCGTAAATTATGAAATACTTCCTTTACCGTGTATCTACATCCTTAATTGTTTGTTGGACATCCATAAAAATATAGATAATTATCAAAGAAATGAGAATTTTCATAATTACACTACAAGAAATTGTAAGTTGGCCATCGGTGAAACACTTCTAAACGTAACACAATAGATACATCTATATCCATATTTCCAAGAAAAACATTTGTAAATTTCTGTTATCCCATTGTTTCTACTCGGTGCGGGAATATTTAGGGGCTGGAGTGGGATCATTTGAGTCTATATAGAATTATGAATAAACAAATCTAGAAAATTAAATAAAAAATGAATAGAACACATGCAAACAATAAAAGAAATTAAAATTACCTAATTATGCCTATACCACGGGGGATCAGTGTTCACCCAGTTTAATTTTAGTGTGTATTTTTTGTATTGTATCATTCTAATTCTAATTTTTAGCTACATACTCTGCCTTGTCTTGACTTTCCACAAATGAATTTGATTTTGTAACGTGAATGAATAATTCGTATCTTGAATATTATCTAACGCCTCTCGACTGTTATCTTTAGGGACTATATTCAAATGAACCACAAACCAGAGATGAGCTAATTCAAAATATTATGACTGCAGCTGCAATTTGTGTAATTCTAATTTAATATTGCTCATTACTCCTCGATTATATAGTTTTGGGCAAAAGTCTGTAAGGCACTTTCGACATGAAATTGTTCAGGGAATATGCCCTTAAGCTAACGGCATAGAGTCACGGGACACCCTGTGTATCTATTTTCATCCGTTACCAAGATATTCGACGTTTCCATCATACAGCGAGGCGAAGCTGAGAACGTATAAACCTAAACATCTATGATTATGAATTCGTTTTGGAAGCTGTGATAGAATGAATTTCCCCGATAGGAAAGTCGTCATTCGGTTTCGTTTTTTGTTGCTTTGGGTTATTGATCACAAACCATGTGCAAATAGAGAGTTGATAGATAACTGGAAACCATTAAATTGGTCCTACGGTTGGACATCGCCAATAGATTTGAAAAAAATATAATATAACAGAGAGTGATAGTCAATTTCACAAAATTTTGGGAAAATTGGAAAAAAATTGCAGATTTATTTATTTATTTATTTATTTCAGTTATTGCATTACATCATCTTCTTCATTGATACATTTCATAAAAATAATATATAAAGTATAATTAATTTTCTAGTAGAGGAATGACATGAATAATCAGACAGTAATTCCTGGTATAAGATCATTCATGAAGTATTATCGACTGTTGTATAATTGAAATTACAAATAGTGAACAAAAACTTACATATCATTAAGATACAGTCATATTATAGTGAACAAGAAGCGGAAAAATAAAAACATTGAAAAAAAAAAAAAGAATGATACCAAGTGTTTCTTCCCAAAACGAATTGTGATTGTAGCCAGGTAACGCTTAATCTCCTACAGGCCGCTTTCATCATTTCAGCGGAAGATATTCGGGACGATCTTGAAATTTTGGTTGGATAGATCTCAAGGTTTGGGCGACTACTATGACGCCATACTTTCTTCATCTCTCGAAGTGTACACAACAATATTACAAGAGCTGCTGCCTACTCCAGCTAAAACCCATTACACTTTCAATTTGAGAGATCTCAGCAAAGTTTTCCAAGGGATATTGATGTTTACACCGGAAAATCTTCAGGTTTGTAATCGTATCTATTCGGATAGATTTCAATATATTTACGTTTTACACGACATTTATTCAGTCAATAAACTGAATATCTTATTCCAATGACAGTCGTGTTGTACCTTTCATTCGCAAACGAGAGATCTCGAATAAATCATTTTGGTTCACAGGCGGCAGACTTCACGTAATCCGAATTCCATTAACAATCTCCTTTCCTTTCATTGGCCTTGAAGTTCAGAGTTTATCTACTGAAGAAATAAGTATGACGCCATTGGAATGATATTCATTATGATATTGTCAAGAAGTACAAATGTCTATGAAATAACTTTCGTTCATTTCTAGATCCTCATTCATAAATTAACTTTTCCAAATTGTAACATCTTGTACAACGTTTCGATCAGGTCAAAGCGGAGTTCATAGACTCTAGTTCCGGTAAAATTTGCATGAAACCGCTTAGCTTGCGATGCGGGCTAAGTTATACGCCCGGTATCGAGCATTGCCATTGCGGAAAATTGCAATGTTAGCATCGATTCCAAATATAAATAGATTCCGAATCGATAAGCCATTCATTACTGATTACTGATTTTTGATTATTATTGACCACTCATTCCTGATTACATTACTATTTGATTATTACTAAGCAAAATGCATTTCGATAACACTTTACTTTATTCCGTAATTGAGTTACTTATTCACGAGTTACTGTCAAAATGTGTACCGTCTTCCCGACTTTGATCCTGCTGGTCAACCCCATGTTAGATGTCATGATGTAAGTACTGTTTTCCATGTTCTATCTGATTTGTTTTTTCTGTGTTGTGTTCCGTTTGGTAAATTTACTATTGTTTGTCTCTGCTACTTTGTCATGTGGCAAGCATTTATTCACGACTTTCCCATTAAATCAATAAATGTTAATTTTATACGAAAACTATCTTGACTCTTCATTTGGGGATGAATATGGTTGGGTGGTAAAATGATCAAAATCCTCTCATCAAGCCAAGCGAGTAGCCAAGTTGCGATCCATAGGAGGGCAACATCTGAATTGCGACATTTGGTGGACACGCCGTTTGCCAAATAATCTACCAAAACCATCTGAGTTGCGACAATATGGGTTTGGTTTCATTGACCCATAAAGCTATGTCAACGTACCAAATTCGGTACACATATCAACCTTGTACTAGTTGTACTGAAATGTTTCGTCAAGAATTCAGAAAAAACTTGATACCTACTTTTCCCTTTTTGTAAACCAAAGAAATAAAAGAACATCCATAACCATCTCAATCACTCTAGGATGTGAACGAGATGCTCCGTCTGTGGTATCACGAATGCTGCCGCGTCTTCCAGGACCGCCTCGTCAACGACGAAGATAGAACCTGGTTCGACTCGCTCCTCCGACAAAAAATCCAGCAATTCTTCGATGTCAACCCCGAGCAGGCCCTCGGCTCTGACACGATTCTCTTCGGAGACTTCCAAGACGCTTCTGTCGGCGCCGGACAGTACGTCCAGATCCACGACTACGACAAACTGACCGAGTCTCTCGACTTCTACTTAGCCGAGTACAACTTGCAGAGCACCAAGCCCATGAAGCTGGTGCTGTTCCTCGACGCCATTTCGCACGTATGCAGGATATCCAGGATCATCAGACAGCCCATGGGGAACGCCCTGCTTCTGGGGATGGGCGGATCAGGTTGGTTTCCTCGCCACAGATGACAAATCACCAGAAATATCGCTCGTTGCTTCTTCTAACGAATATCTAGTTATATTTAGTAGGGATAGCCTGGGTGAAGATAACCCCCACCTCCACCATCTTACTTCGCCAGCCAATCAGAGGCTGTCATTTGTTTTAGCTCCGCCCGACAGTCACGCATGTGTGAAAATCGTGAAAACAGCGTCAAGGTGGGGGTGAGACGGTTTATACCACAGTCATCCCCACTTCAATAGTAGGCTAGTTCTTTTTCAATAATAATAATTTATTTGGAAATCTGATCACGTGACTGACTGTCAGTCAATTTTGTTTATAAATCAATGCTCAATTCAGGCGTAATTTTTCGAAATTTAAAAAATTATCTAGGAGAAGTTTTCATATCCTGATCTCACTCATATTCACCAAGAATCAACGTTTTATTGCGATCTCAATTAATTTATACCTTCTCAATATCTACAAGATTTCTGGAAAACTCGCATGAACTAACTTTTAATCACAAATTATCAACTTGAATAGATTTTTCTGCAGACAATTAGAATGTTGCTTCGAATTTATTTATCTTATGTTTGATGCCGAAGCTGATATAATCTTCAAGCATTTAGGATAAATATTCGTCCAAAAGATTTTTTTCCGAAACCGTCCGAGAAGTATCTACTTCCCGGACGCTCTTTCTTTGAGAAAGTAGCATTTTTCCGGCCTAGTCCGGGAAGTATACTTCCTGGGCTCGTTGTTGTACGTACTTCCCAGACTTGTTGTCATTGTATATATGAAAATCTTAGTATGATTCTGATGAATGCAGTTGATCATTACCATAGCAGGGAAATAACGACTGACAGCTATTTGACATGAGGGATCTTAATTTATATTTTCATTTCTGAAAGTTCGCCGTTATCGCGATAAACTATGGAAAGCGCCAGCGATAGTGACTTTGAAAATGTGCCATAACACTAATGAAAATTAGAATATTTGAAATTCGGTTCTACAAAGAAATATAATAAAGGAATGTTCATTGATTTGTAATTTTACACGTTTGCCGAAAAAAATAATGTACGCAACACGTCAAAAAACAGTTTTTCTGAACTCACTAGAATTTCGTCAACTTGTCCAAGAAAACAGTATTTTCCAAACTTCTCGGGTGAATTACTATTTCAGTACTCAAATAAAAAAATCACAAGACTACCAACATATCTAACCGAAATTGGACTTTTTACAGAATGAATCAATCTCAGATTGAATTTTATGAGAACTCAAGTCTCAATAAAACTCCAAAAATCAAGGCATATGTGTCGGAATAGACATCTTTCTGGTTCAATAGTTCCCGAAATTATGATTAAAAGTTTCTTCTACGTGATGTCAACATTTTGAAGGACACTGTACATGCAATTTCTCAATTCGTGTTCAGGGCGCCAAAGTTTGACGAGGTTGGCAGCATTCATAACGGAATTCAACTGTTTTCAAATCGAACTCAGCAAAGCATATGGGTCCATAGACTGGAAGGACGATATCAAAAACTTGATGCTCACTGCTGGTCTCATGAAACGGGAAACGGTGTTTCTGTTCTCTGATACACAGGTGAAGTATCCAAGTGTTCAATCGATTTTTCGAACTTTGAAAAGATAATGAAAAAAATTCAGAAAACCAATGTTCTCCTTTCAGATAAAATCAGAGTCCTTCTTAGAGGATTTGAACAACATCCTGAATTCTGGAGACGTTCCCAACGTATATCAACCCGAAGAGTTGGACAAGATCTACCAAGGCATGAAGGGTACCCTCCAGGAGCTTGGACTGGCTGCAACCAAATCGAATTTATTCGCGGTTTACCAAAAACAAGTGCGTTCTAATCTTCATAACGTCATCACTATGAGGTGAGACAATCAGTAGTCGATGTACGTCAGGTATATAAGATTTGTCTGATCCACAGTCCTATCGGAGAGATCTTCAGAGCTAGATTGCGACAATTTCCAGCTCTTGTTAACTGCTGCACCATAGACTGGTTCAGCCCTTGGCCTGATTCAGCTTTACAGGTGAGTTGATAGCACACCTTGAAGTCTTGTTGAAAACGAAGGATTCGCATATCATTCTCCTAAACATAAGGAATTGTTTCAGAACTCCCATAGCTTATCTACTAATGAATCCTATCGGCTGCACCAACTTTTATGTTTCAGTCTGTTGCGTTGCAATTCCTTAAAGACGTGGAAAACCTCGAGGTGTCCGAGAAGATCCTGCAAGGCATCGTGGTGGTGTTCCAGTTCATGCATGCCAGCGTCGTAGAAGCCAGCGAGCTGTTCAAGCTGGAGCTTTCCCGCCACAACTACGTCACGCCCACTTCGTATTTGGAGCTGCTGTCCAGCTACACGGATCTGATGAACAAGAAGAAGGGGTCGCTCACCGAAGGAGTAGGAAGACTCAAAACAGGTGAAGGAAATTTGTATTTTTTGATATCATAATTCCCTTCTACAGCAGTATCTACAGTTGTTCCAGCAGGACATTGTCATAACCAAGAAAAAAATAATTTCTTGGGCCAAATCACTCCTTTGCAACGAAGAGAATGCCTTCTTGTTCTTGGGATACATAATCTCTATTAAGGTTTTGTTCATCGCATGTATCTCTCTATAGGACTTGGAAAACTTCAGAATACTTCCGAGGAAGTTAAGGTTCTTCAACTGCAACTGAGAGATATGAAACCAGCACTAGAAGTGGCTGCCAGGGATGCTGACATCATGATAAGGAAAATAGCAGCTGATACGGTAGGTATATCTGAATTTATTCTTGCATATTTAAGTCTCCTTCGATCCAAGAAAGTGAACACCTTACATATATCAACTATTTTCGTAGGTGATTGCTGAAGAAACTAAAGTTATTGTGGAGAGAGAAGAATTCGAAGCTAGTAAAAAAGCTCTGGAAACGCAAACCATTGCCGAGGATGCACAAAGAGACTTGGGTAGATAGTAATTACATTTTTGAAAATTAGGATGACGACCTATTCTCGGACAGCACTATGCAGTTATTCATTTGCGAAAAATAAATAATTTCGATGGTAGCAGTGGTACTTCAAATGTCAAATGTCTTCGGATACGGTAATATAACCGATGCGATAAATTGGCCTGATTGTCAGCAGATCGAGTACGATTGATGAGTTTGGTGGCCCTCAACAGTGATATCGCACTTGCTGATAATTATTTACATCTCTCATCAACACAGTTGATTCATCGACTTTTTTATCGTAATGAAAAACTGAAGCGTTTTTTATATTCTGTCATGAGAAAATGATGTGGTGACTTATTCCCATATTTACCGTTCCAGATGAAGCAATGCCCGCCCTGCTAGAGGCCGAAAATAGTTTGAAATCTCTCAACAAAAACGACATAGTTGAGGTTAGGTCTATGAAAAGGCCGCCAGCTGGAGTAGTATACGTAATCGAGTCAATATGCATTGTCAAAAACGTCAAACCAAATAAGGTACATACCTATTTTAAGATAGATTAATAGATGAAAGTGGATGGAAATGGTCAAAAGTTGAAGTTGAATGTGAAAAGCTGATCGGAATAATATTCCTATAACATTTTCAGGTACCAGGAATCAGACCAGGAGAAAAGATACTGGATTATTGGGAGCCTGGACGAAACATGCTCTCTGATCCTGGAGGTTTCCTCGCTTCTTTGATGAACTTCGACAAAGAATCTATCACAGAAGACATGATAGAAAAACTGAAGAAATATGTCGACGATCCACTGTTCACCCCTGCTAAAATCGCAAAAGTAAATATCTGCTTCCTATGAATGAGCTTAAATATTCCTAATCCGGTATCGCAGGTTTCTAAAGCTTGCACTTCCCTGTGTATGTGGGTACACGCAATGTACAAATACTACTTCGTTAACAAATCAGTCGCTCCGAAAAAAGCAGCGCTCAAAAAAGCGAAAGAAGAATTGGAGGAGACGGAAAGGATCTTAGCAGAAGCAAAGGCCAAGATGAAAGAGGTTCTCGATGGCTTGGAAAAGCTCCAAATCCAGCTAGCTGCCAAAATAGCCTTCAAAGAAGAAAAGGAGCGAAGCATCTCCTTGTGCGAGGAAAAACTGAACAGGTTCAGCGTGATTCCATCTCCAGAGCTGAGCACTTCAACTATTTTTTTTTGCAGAGCGCTAAGGCTTATAACAGGACTCTCCGACGAGAAAGTGAGATGGTTAGAGACCATCAGGAACATAGAGGCCAACGTGGTCAACATCACCGGAGACATCCTCATCTGTTCCGGTTGCGTCGCCTACTTGACTCCCTTCACCGACTCCTACCGACGGATGTTGTTCTCTAGCTGGTTGGAGCTCATCTCCGAACACGAGATACCCTTCACTGAGAACTGCAACCCTGTGTCCATACTTGGTGAACCCGTGCAAATCAGGTAGAGTAGTAGGGATGGCCTGGAATTTGTCACTCCCACTCCTAGTATTTTAGAGCATCGCCTTCTGTTGGTCCATTCCAACAGCTGGGCGATACTAACTATTCTGACGTCACACAGCTCAGGACGTTTTAACAGGCAGGCAATCAATGACCAGTGATGTGTGTTAGAACATACGCAATTGAATATTTCAATTCCATATTCTATTTAGGCTATGGCAGCTCGATGGACTACCCAGGGACTATTTGTCTACGGAAAACGCGGTACTCGTGTCATGTTCTAGAAGATGGCCGCTTTTTATAGATCCTCAAGGGCAAGCTAATAAATGGGTCAAGAATATGGTGAGTACATACTACTTCCATACTCACACACATCACTATTGCTCATACATTATTATGAATAACGATTATGTGACTGGGTATTCTCAAGACGAAGATAGTTAGCAATTGAATCCATTTCTCCATAGCACATTCATGTTGATGGTTTACATATCATTTTATTGTTCTCATGCTATTGCCCCAGGCTTCTACTAGATTCCTCTCAATCCAGCTTCCCTTCCAGATTTCTCCGTACAATGCATTCGGCTGCTTCCAGAGTTGAGTCTTGATGATTCTCTCTCCAGTTTCTTGTTTGCAGTTCTAGCTCAATACTGATCATCAACTCTCGTTGTTTCAAGGGTAAAAGTATGGGTCTAGCAGTCTGCAAACTGGCCGACAAAGACTTGATGCGCACCATGGAATCGGCCATTCGGTTTGGCAAAGCCATGCTGATAGAAAACGTCGGGACAGATCTAGATCCGGCTCTGGATCCAGTCCTGCTGAGACAAGTATACAGCCAGAGCGGGACGCTAGTAGTGAAGCTAGGCGATGTCGTAGTGCCATACGATGACAATTTCAGGTTGTTCATCACCACGAAGCTGCCGAATCCCCACTACACACCCGAAGTGTCCATCAAAGTGCTGATGGTCAACTTCACCGTAGTTTCTAGGTAGGAAGACAGAGTCCTCTACAGCTCTCGATCTATAACTACATGCGGTGATAATTTTGCAGTGGCTTACAAGATCAGTTGTTAGCTCTAGTGGTGATGCAAGAGCGTCCAGATTTGGAAGAGCAAAGGAGCCAGATAGTCGTGAGTGTTGCTCAGATGAAACACGAACTGAAAGAGATCGAGGACAGAATATTGATGAAGCTGAGCACCTCGGAAATCTCCCCGTTGGACGATTTAGATTTCATCATAACGCTGGAAGCTTCCAAAGTAAAAAGTGAAGATATCAAGGTGAATACCATATTTAGTCCTACCATAGAAATGATCTCACTAGCAGAAAGCATTTCACTTTGACTCGCCGTATTCTTCTTTCAGAATAAAGTAGAAGCTGCTGAGATAACGCAGATCGACATAGACAATACGAGAGCACTGTATATCCCTGTTGCGAACAGAGCTCAGATTTTGTTCTTTTGCTTAGCTGATTTATCGAATGTCGATCCTATGTATCAGTATTCTCTGGAATGGTTCGTCACGATTTTTGTGTCGAGTATTGCAGAAACAGAAAAATCAGGTCAGTACCACCATCACCTCAGTATAATTGCCTTATTCATAAATTCATTTATTCATTTCAGTTATTGCGTTGTTTCTCGTACCAATACATTTTATACAAATAATATAGAAATGTATAATTAATTTTCGAGTAAGAATGACATGAATGATCAGACAGTGATTCCTGGTATAAGATCATTCATCAAGTATTATCGGTTGTTGGATGATTGAAATTACAAATAGTGAACAAAACTTACATGTCTATAAGATATTTCAAAATAACAGGACTCGTATAGTGAACAAGAAGGGAGAAAAAAACACCGGAGAAAAAAATAAATTCATAAAGTCTGTCAGCTTTGATCATTCCTTTGCATCAGAATATATTTCTTCGCCTTATTTTTCAATTTATTAATATTTGAGTTGATTTGATATCATCTAGTGATTTATTAAATTTGGAAAACGCCTCATGTGTGAAGATTTTTTGTCCAAGTTGATAATTTGCAGCATCAAGATGAAACAAGATATATTGTCTAGTGTGATGACCATGAATAAAAAAACCTAAAAAAATTCCAATTACAACAGAATTCCAAGTAAGAATTGTAACAAGTTCTCAAAACTGCTCGAAATGTTCATATTGACACAAAAAAATCGGTTTTGGAATTCAAACTTCAAACGCTGTCATTTTGAAACGGCTTGGCCGATTTGAACAAACGAAGTTTTGTTGGATAGAGAATCGAGAGGCCTTCAAAACAAGGTACCAAGTGACCCTTCCTTGCATTTGAACAAAATGTTGATAGTGCCCACTTGACACTAGGTCAGGTGGCCAACCATTTCCATGCCAAATATCTAGCTTCTTCCGTTCAAAAGTTAAAAGGGGGAGGACTTTTTACGTCCTCACTGTTCTAATAATGTTGCTAAGGGTATAGGCAAAGTAAATACATATGATTTCTGATGGTAAACATTCTGTGAACAGATTCAATTGATGAGAGGGTCGTTATCATCAACGATTACTTCACGTTCAGCTTGTACGGCAACGTATGCAGAAGTTTGTTCGAGAAACACAAGCTGCAATTCGCCTTCCTGCTATGCGTCAGGATCCTGATGGACGAGAAAAGGATCAACCCCAAGGAATGGCATCACTTTCTGGCAGGAGGATCGCCTCTGAGAGTATAAAAGCAACAGGTCTTATCTTTCGTTGTTTCTTAAAGACATGTTTGACAGGACCTGCCCAACCCTGCTCCTACTTGGTTGTCTATCAAGGCTTGGAATGAGATACTGGCACTCGAGGTTCTGCCGATTTTCCAACCGTTTGTTGAATCGTTCGCCAACAAAGTCGATCACTATAAGCAGATATTTGAGTGCCAAGAACCACATAGGTGAGTACGAACAATGTTCCAACTGATGAGGTGGTTGAAAGACCGATGTCTCCGATGATACTTTGGCCCAGTGGCTCATTGTATCTCACTGATGAGCTCTGGTATCTCTTATCTATTCCTATCGTTCACATTTTTTTCTATGCCCATCCCGGTGGATTCCAGGTATCCGTTACCAGTTCCGTTCGACCGGGACCTAGACGACTTCCAGAAGATCGTGATCCTGAAGAGCCTGCGACCAGACAAGGTCACCAACGCGATGCAAGACTTTCTGTCGGCCAAACTCGGTCAGCAGTTCATCGAGCCGCAAACGTCCGATCTGTCGGCCATGTTCAAGGAATCAGGTAATGTCTCCCCGTCTAACAACAATAACAACATTCAGGAATGAAAATACTTGGACAGCACCAGCACCCGCAACAACCGTATGCTCTCTAGGAAGAAGGTACATTTTGGCCGAGTTAGGTCAGATTGTTGAAATGAAGTAGTCTCCTTTGTTCTATCAAGTAATTTTCCGAAAAATAGACTTTCTAGGCCGAGTTAGTTTAGCTTGTATAGAAAAAGTAGTCTCCTTTCTCATGAAGGAAGGGTTTTTTCTTTCCTTATATTACAATATTACATGTCTTCGGAATTCAGAGAGCCACCGATGGCTTGCAAATGGCTTGTAACGTGTCGCTGCTGTCTACACCGCTTCGGGTATTTTCGTTCCTGAATGTTGTAAGACTGGAAGACTCCAGTCAAAGATTATACACGTTCTAAAGAAACAATAACGTCTGTATAAAAATTGTCAACGCTCTGAAAAGACGTAACAGACCGGCGGCTAATCGGCTGTGCTGATCGTTGTACAAATTTTAATATCGAAGCCAGTGAAATACACGGCGTAGATGTATTTATTTTATCTATTAATTAATTAATTCATTCAATCATTCATTCGTTCATTCGTTCATTCATTCATCCATCCATCCATTCATTCATTAATTGTTACATAGAGTTTTCATCAACAATTATAAATGTGTCATCAGCGTATGCGAAAATATGTCCATCAATAATTGTTTTCAATATGTCGTTAATATTAATATAAATGTGAAAAATAATTGGACCAAGAGCAGTTCCTTGAGGAACACAACAAATCAAATGTGTTTTTGAACTGGAAGTGTCCTGTATCTTTGTAAATTGTACACTTTCCGATAAGATACTCTTCAATTACTCAAAACTCTTACCTTTTATGCAACAATTTTGTAGTTTTCTGAAGAAAACGCCATTGGAAATTGTATCAAAGCCTTTTTTAAATCAGTTTTTTTGTTTTCAATGATTGATTATTGTTAGTATAATTATGAAATATTGAGGTTTCTGTTCCTATTCCAGGTCTGAGTCTGAAGCCAAATTGATTAAGAGAAAGAATATTTTTGCTATTTGAAAAATCATTTATCTTATTTTCCAAACATTTTCCAAGAAGTTTAGCAATATTATGTATTAAACATATGGGACGATATAATTACCGCTCTGTTACGTCCCAGCGTTGCCTATTCCTTTGCCTATTCTCATATTGAGGGTGTCTATCTAGAGTGTGTGTTATCATTGTTCTTGTGGAATCAGGTCCGACGGTGCCGTTGATTTTCGTTCTGTCCACCGGCACCGATCCGGCAGCGGAGCTCTACAAGTTTGCCGACCGCCTGAGGATGACCAAGAGGATGTTCTCTATATCGTTGGGACAGGGCCAGGGCCCCAGGGCCGAAAAGATGATCTACGATGCCGTGGAAGTTGGATCGTGGGTTTTCTTCCAGGTATATCCATCGTCGGCTTATCAATCGCTAGTCAGGTCAAATTAACTATGAGCTATGTCTCAAATGGAGCCGCTCAACCTCTAGTTGAAATGTTTATCATTCGTGTACATCATCCAGGAAATCATCGTAATACCCATATTAAATTTCAACCCAATCGGTTCAGCCGTTTAGAAGTTATGTGAAAAAGATAAGTACGGAAGGATAATTCCGAGGATAATTCTTACTATTCTGTCCTATTTCCCGTTTTCTCATAGAAATTCGGCGGTCAAAAGTAGCCTATGTTCATCAGGGATAATGTCGGCTTCTAATGGTAAAAGAATTTTTCAAATCGGTCCAGTAGTTTCGGAGCCTATTCGATACAAACAAACAGATCTTTCATCTTTATAATATTGCTATAGATTATGAGCGAAGGCCGTAAAAGTATTGCGGAGTAAAGAAATAGTCTATTTGATGATTTTCGTTGTTCAAAACCCATCAGAGTGTTGATGATCCTGGAGCAAGTAGGTAGTTGTTATTTGTAAGTTGTCTTTGGAATCATATAAAATAAATCAATTTGATGCAGCTTTCGTGTTTCTATATTGTAGAGTTTTCGGAGTTTCTCACAGAAGTGAACAGCTGTCCTATTTTGCCTCCCAAAGTTGCTTCCTTTTGTCTTCAAGTCATTGTATTTGTTCTTTTCGAGGTAATTATTTTTCGATTTTTTAAAACTGTCACAACTTTCAACAATAATCTACATTCACTTTATCCAAAGTATGTTACTATTTTCATATTTTTGTTGTTAATATCCACCTCGTGAATTTTTTGACAATTTAGAAGTTAGATAATAATATGAACGCAGAAACAAACCACCGACATGTCTACTATGTTGGTGAAGTTTGAAGTAGACCCCGATGTTAGGGGCTTCATCTGAGACGATCCTTCCACCAATCAGATCAAGTATTCTGAAAATCACTACTACCAACATTCTCATAACTCGGGGTTACTTTTAGCTTTGATAATAGATACACATTGGATAAACAGTAAAAGCCTTAACAATGACAATGACCGAGACTTTGACCATTAGTCATAATATAAGGTGTCAATCAGAGCTAGCTCTCAGTTTTTACTCGTAATGGATAAACCGACCCTTACTCTACTTCTTTTCACTCCAGGTTAGTTCAATTGAGTCCATTATTCACTTCACTGCACATTTGTCGCTGTTAGATAATATACCCACCAATAGCTCACCTAAAATTGTCATGCTATCTATATTAATCATTTTTGAATATGTAATCCGAGTCATTTAATCTGGGCTTTTACTGTTCACGATTTATAACATCTCTTGCTAACATCAATTTTTTTCTCGAGAAATCTCTGACCATTGAATGTATATCCATGATTTTTTCATTGTTTGTTTCAACATTGTTCCTCTGAACCACATTTAGCATTTATGAAACGTAAAATAGCAAGGAAAACCGGGATAATGCATAAGGAGGTGAAAGAGCGTGGACTATCATAAACTCTGATGTTCAACTTTGCCAACCACTGACATAAACTACAACCTAGACCGCTAATGCCATAAGAAAGAAGGTAAGCCACTCACGAAATCGAACTGGTGAAGATGAATCCTGATGCGCATTAAGGACCTATCATATAATATATCTTATTCACTCTTACTCATGTTTCCCAGAAACATTACTCGCTGTCATGAACGGCAGTTTGTTCCTGCGCATTGGGCAGAAGTATTTCAAGGCGAGCAATTCAGCCGAGATTTTCGAGTTGCTGATATGACCAGTAGCGGTCTAGATAGTACTTATGTCAGTGCTGACAACGACGGCCACCTTGGGACTGATATCGCTATAGGTCAACTACTGACGCATGGCCATCTTTCTTTTCAGAATTGTCACTTGGCTCCTAGTTGGATGCCGCGTCTGGAACGCATAATAGAAACCATATCTCCTGATGTAGCTCACCGGGATTTCCGGATATGGTTGACCTCGACCCCCTCCCCGCACTTTCCGGTAGCCATTCTGCAAAATGGCAGCAAGATGACCATAGAGCCCCCGTCCGGGCTGAAGGCGAACATGCTGAGAGCCTACAAGAACGAAGTGTCCGATTTTGCCGAGTTTTTGCAATCCGAGCACATCAAAGCTGGCGATTTCAAGCTATTGGTTGGTACATATTTGATAAATGCATGGGTAAAGTCAGTGAGATGACCTTATATATGCTAAGCAATGCAAGATCCTACTGACTGCGCCATTTCCTAGGAGAGCTGAACGAAATCAAATAAAAATGGCACAGTCGGCAGGATCTTCGTTATAAATTCATAAATATCTCAGTATGTATACTATGTTATGAATTCGATCCTCACCATTGGGATCTCGGAAACTATATGAGATACGAAGATGGTTGAATTGGAGCAAAGTTACGCATTGACCTTACTAACAATATGCCGTTTCGAAATTCCAAGTATGTCCGGAGATATCCAGAAAAAACGAAATTTTGGATAGCTGATTTTATTTTTTTTTCTGGCTTCATTTATTGTAGGATTCCAAAAGAAAATGCACTTTTGCATTACCATTTTTTCTCTACTCCCTGCCACCATCATCAACTTTATTTTTTCCAATGGGCGCCGTATTGGATTTTCTCAGTTTTGAATAGAACTTGATATTCTAGTTTCAATGGTGTATCACGAGTTGTCTTTCTTTTGTGTAAAAATCGGAGATATTTAAAAAAAACACACAAATCATCATAGAAGGCTTTGAGTTTGATGTTTCATTTTCAATCTGTCACACTTAATGACATTTGGTTATTTTGTATGTCACTGTATTTTGGAGAAAATGGCATTCACGAGTGGATCAAAAAAGAGATATGATGAAGATTTATTAGAAATGAGTACAATAGAAACAGTGTTCTGACATCTGAACTCACTACTAGATATGAACCTCAAAGGAACAATAATAATAAATTGAGATGTAATAATTGTATTTTTGGCAGAAATGGTTTTCACACAATATCGCTCGGCTATGAATTCAGCCTCGGCAGTCAATCTACTACTTTGCTGCCTAGTTAAACAAATAACTATTGCCTGCCTTAGATCGGTAGATATAGTATATCCAATATCAATTGCAGAATATCTCGCACTGTGCGGCGTCGGCGTTTTTGAAGTTTCCTTTGAAGTGGCTGCAGGTGCGACACGAGAATCTGCAATTGTTTTTGGATAAACTATACCAGAAAAATCGAACGAAGTATCAACACAACACTGCAGGTTAATGACGAATAGGCAACGTGAACGTGGGGGTGGGGCGGTGATTATATATTCCTCTATCGTGTCAAAAACTACAAACCTCGGTAGGAAGTTTCAATTCGGTTCCATTCCTGTCTCGAGAGTCGAGATCATGACGCTTTGCGTCTCGTTTAACCGAGCGTTTGACTAACTACTCTCATGAACTAACGTTACCTTGTTTTTATTTGATTATTATTTTGAGATTAGGTTGTGCAACTTCACTTGATGAAATAAAACATGTTTTGCAGAATCATAAAACAACTGACACTGGCAAGTCAAGGTTGTACGAAAAAGTAGATCGAAGTGTTTACATCACCGTCTTGGTCATCATCGAGGTCATCATACTCATATTTTAGTCTGGTACGCAAAAAATGTTGGGGTAATTTTGCACTTATCATGCGATGGGTCTTTTTTCGAATTTTTTTTTTGGTACTAACGTACTTTTGTCTGAAAAACACGACTTTGATAATGAAAATGTGAACAAACCATTATTTATTAAGATATTTCACTATGAAGTTACAAATTTCACCTTCTTTTCCGTCTTCTGGATCGCATTTAGACAAATTTGACCCCCTTTTTCCATCATTGGACAATTTATATATATATATCACGATGTTCGACGTTTTTTTTTATTGATTAAATGGCCGTCATCTGGTATGCTTGTTCACTTAATATGAAAAACTCTCCATAAAAATTTTATTTCCTATTGATAATTTTCCATATAAAAATGTATCATTGAAGTACATTATGAGTATATAGTGTCCAATGCGAGGTCTAATGACAAAATGAAAAGAGCAAGTACTTGTAAATGCATCCAACACAAGGGGGAAAAGAAGGCAAGAAGGCAAAATATCGAACTTTTTCTTGGAATACCTCGATAAATAGTGGTTTGTTCACACTTTCATCATCAAATTCGTGTTTTTGAGACAAAAATACGTAAGAATCAAAAAAAATTTTCGAAAAAAAAACCATCGCATGGTAAGTGCAAAATTAGCAACTTCGATACCAAACCATGAAGCTGGGAACTTCACAAATTGTCAAGTTTATTTAGTTAGAAGTACTGAAAGTATTTAGTCCAGATATAGTGATTAGTCAGCTAACCAGGACACGGTATATATAAACGTTGTGATAGACTCTATTAAAGTTCAGGGGAAAAAGGTCCCATATGAAAATCAGAATGTTTTTCACTATACCTATCTAGTTTACTCTCAAGTCTCAATTATAAAAACCCAGACAGTTCCTACAGAATCCGATCACAATAATTACAAATCGGTATGGTCAATTGGACAAACCTAAAATATCAATCATCCGTTAACTGATAGCTCAAAGAAAAATACTTATAAGCGCCGCACTATGCTAAGAGACTGAAGACTCAATACAACAGTGATAATGTCAGAAAAAGTCTAGAATAACCACACACGATCGATATCGATAATTATTGTAAGCAGTTTTTACTCACGTAACCCTCCGTAGGGTTTAGCAGTTGTTTTCGTCTGGTACCAGGAATTGGAAACACACGTGGAACACACTAACCAGTGCCAAAACGTCTTCTACTGGCTTGTACACTTTTCAACATTCGGGCAAGGACTGCCTCTTTGGCACGTCAGACCGCCAACGTCCTTACTTGACCTCTACCTGATCGCCCGCAATCTGCGTGACTCGGAAGAAATTCACATTAGTCTCGGCGCAACACTCACTAAATCATTCAAAAACATTTAGTCTTTGAGCATAGCACTATTGAGCGGCTGCAACGTGGCCATTAACCGACGTGATTGCACCAGGTGTTCTCCCTGTGCTTCTTCCATGGCATCATCATCGAGAGAAGGAAATTCGGCCCTTTGGGCTTCAACATCCCCTACGAATTCACCGATGGCGACCTGAAGATATGCATATCCCAGCTGCACATGTTCCTGCTGGAGTACGCCGACGTGCCCTTCAAGGTGCTCACCTACACTGCTGGCCACATCAATTACGGCGGTAGGGTGACCGACGATTGGGACAGGCGGTGTCTGATGAACGTCTTGGCCGATTATTACAAGAGCGAAGTTGTCAGCCAGGATTACGTTTATGACAACAACGGGTATTATCATCAGGTATGTGGTTTTCATTAAGGTCCCTTGATGTAAATTGACGTATTTGTCATCTAAACAGGGTACGGACAGACTTTCAATGATCTAGTGACTTTGTTTTTGTGTATTGGCGTCCCTGACATGACATTGTTGTCACGTCTTATTCATAGGCGTCAAAAGAAATCTTACAAAATTTTAATTAGTATTTAATCTTAATACGGCATTATTCAATTCCGTTTTGGGAGGATGGTAAAATGATGTGCTGCGTTAGGCTGTATCAATCAGTTCGATGGCAAATTTGTTGTCAGCTTTCCAACAAATAAACTTGGAACATGTGAACATGGGAATTGAAGAGGCCGAATTGAAAAAATCGGTAAACATCAGCAAAATATGCGAGGTAAAACTAATACAAAATAACATATACATTCTCATTGTGCCTTATTATCCACTCCGAAAGTTTTTGAATGCATTTTAGTAGAAACAGTTTTGATTTAAGAACTTATACCAGTAAAAAACTGCAAAAATGATACCCAACATGAATGTAATAATTATAAGATCAAACGTTACCTTCGATCTCAATTATATGAAATGCCTTGTTCGAAGATGATCGTTTTTAATGTGGTGGATTTCGTTATCGAAGGTACCTATTAGTATGAATCTACTAGTTAGAAGAAATACATGTTCCAAACTTTTAGAGACTATATAAATCACTTTGTTATATTCCCTTGAACTGCTTGTTGCTACCTGTGAAAGTTCCACCTGCTTGTCATTCACTGTTACTCCAGGTAGTCTTGATTGCTGCTCTCTATCCTTTGTGAAGAACTTGGCAGTTTCAAAAGTTTGATTTGGATAGTTCCGGCAAGAAGGACCAATATGTTCGATGCTTGATAGATAGTTGACTGTATTGGTATGGTTGTTGAGTTTCCAAAAAGAGGTAGATTCCTCAATAAGTGGTGAGAATGATAGAATGATTTCCCTAGGCGCGATTATACTTGTATCATCAAATCAGAAGGTGAGAATCAGTGGTGAGCAAAAACAGTGACTCGCCCATAGGATTTTCTCCGGGTGCACGCTAGCACTGGTCTCGTAGTGTAGAAGTTTTCTGTTCTTTGGCTATCAGCCAGGAGCTGATTGCATGCGGTACTGAGTTTTTTTCGAAAAAAAAATCCACAATATGAGTACTTGGTTTATGCGAAAGCCGTCGGCATGGTAACAACAAATGAAAATCTCTTATACTATAATGGATAATACAAGCACCAAACTATTATATAGGGTTGAACAAGTACTAAACAAAAGTTTTGTTTTCATATAGCATACTCATTTTGTAAAAGCTGTTTGAAAATACAAACTAATCCTTTTCAATATTCCATCAGCTACCAATAACGACAATGTTCGTCGACTACATGGAGTACATAAAAACTTTCCCCATCAACGACGACCCCTCCTTGTTCGGCATGCATCCCAACGCAGACATCACGTTCGCGCAAGTGCAGACCTACCTGTGTCTGTCCACCCTGTTGAAGCTGCAGCCGAAGCAGGTGGGCGGAGCGGCCGCCAGCCAAGAAGAGGTCACCACGAAGAGCGCCAGGACGATATTGGACCAGCTGCCGAAGCCCTTCGACTTGGAACTCATCTCTAAAAGGTGGGTGCTGGGTCCATTACATGCCTTCTATATCAGATATGCTCGTCCTTTCGTTGTCAACCCCGAAATATGTCGAACAACACTTTACCAAAACTCGTTCGCCTATAGAACTGCAAAGCTTTGGAGTTCTTCGCCGATGGAAGTATTCCCAAGAACGTATAACCTCTTAAAGTTCAAACAAAATTCCAACACCTAAATCCATCCCCTATCCTCTCTAAATATGCATGATGTTCTCTATCCTTTGTGAAGAACTTGGCAGTTTCAAAAGTTTGATTTAAGAACTTATACCAGTAAAAAACTGCAAAAATGATACCCAACATGAATATAATAATTATAAGATCAAACGTTACCTATAATATGACTGTATCTTAATGATATGTAAGTTTTGTTCACTATTTGTAATTTCAATTATACAACAGTCGATAATACTTCATGAATGATCTTATACCAGGAATTACTGTCTGATCATTCATGTCATTCTTACTAGAAAATTAATTATACTTTATATATTATTTGTATGAAATGTATCAATGAAGAAAAGAATGTAATGCAATAACTGAAATAAATAAATAAATAAATAAAACAAGTGCAAGTATATTTCTGATTGTCATTTTTATCAATATATGAAATGAATTTTCTGGACTGAATACTTATTGAAGATAACAGAGGACACAACACCCAACTGCATAATCAGATGATATGAGGATTATCTTTGAATGTTCGCAGTATATGACCCTAGATTTGATTAGATGGTATAGGTTTTGAAGATAAAGGTGACAGTCGAAGTTGACGTTGGTAAGAATTATTTCCTTATCTTGATATTTCTGTGAACTCTAAGCATTACGCTGTTGCCGGGTCAAAAAATAGTTTGGGTTTTAATAAATTCCCCATCATTATTAGGAATATAAGGACATTCTTATTGGCACTGAATCATCTTGCAAGATATATATAAGTATTCAATAAGTGATTATCAGGGACCAGATTTAACCATTGTCTTCTGTGAATATGAATACTGTTGTCATTGGTCATATTGAATCTCATAAGGTAGGTAATTACTAGTTATAAATTTGGGAGCGTCAGAATGTGGTTATGCTCGCAACATATAATTTTCACTATTTTACGTTGGAACACTGAAGACAATGACACATGGGGGAAACATTTTTTTATTTCTCAACGCTATCTGAACTGCTCTATTGATTTGTCTGAAACAATTAGAAGGTTCTTGCAAAAAACAAACCTACATTCCCTGTCGGTACGCCCCTGGGATTATTGAGTAAACTCTAGAGCATACCTCATGAGGTTTTCAACAAACTGTGGAAATCTCATTCGAATAATCGACGAAAGCGTTCTCAAGATATCTATAAAAAATATCTTTTCCAGTATTGGGGAACTTCAACACACTTCAATAAGTATTTTCTTATTTTTATGGAATCTGGATCTGCCCTAGGCTTTTGTCACCTTTGTCAAATTGTTTTTTCTTTTTTTATTTTAGATACCCAGTTCGATACGAGGAGTCCTTGAATACTGTCATCATTCAAGAAGCCATCAGATATAACAAGCTATTGAACGTCATCAAGACTACACTGAACGAGCTGCTGAAAGCTCTCAAAGGTTTAGTGGTGATGTCGGAAGCCCTGGAAAAGATGACTCTGAGCTTATTCAGCAACATGGTTCCTGGATTGTGGGCCAGTAAGGCGTACCCTTCACTCAAACCACTTGGTGAGATCATACGTGGTGTCTTTCTTCGACAACAATCAAAGATTGAAAAATCACAGATGGTACTTTTTGCAAAAGTTATCACAGGCAGCAGAAAGAATATTTGAACAAATGATGGATGAAATGAAACATTTACAATAATTTCTTTTTCCCCCTTCGAAAAGTACTTAACTACATGCATTTTAACTGACTTTACTACGTAAAATGAGCGATATCTGATGAAATGGCGCGGTTTCATCGGATCTATTCGTGTCTAGAAGTAATATCGTTATATCAGTGATACAACAGTGGGTTGAGAGGGGGTAAACATCGCATATGAAAATGGTGTTGAGAGGGGGTATACCAATAATATTTTCAAATAACTGCTGCACTAGTTTGGCTCACTGTCTACCATTGTACTATCTAAATATTGGAGTTTTCAACATTTTCAGATTTTTATCAAGTCAATACAAAAAAACACTATACAAGAATATTTTCTATCCTTAAGCATTCTCTCGGCAATTAATATTTGAATTATCAATTCTAGCGATAATTCTAGTCTAAATGACATATTATCCTATAGAAATTTGTGACTTTTGGACATGGGCTAAGGGTGGATCATTTTGACCAAAATATGACGATAGGGTCATATATGCCTTAATAAAATGTTGCTGTGGAAAAAAAACAGGGCGTTTCAATCGAAAAAACGAAAACAAAATTCAACTTGAACGCCCTGTAACTATTGAGGCATGGTCCTATCACCATATTTCGGCTCATACAATCCGTCCTCAGACAATGTCCCAATTGGTATCACTCACCCTGTATTATGTATATTTTGGGTTCAATCATATTATTTTGCATCTCAGAAATATCAAGAGAACTGTAATATTAGAAAAGGAACCATCACAACTCAGAAATAAATGTCCTGAACTGTACAGAAATGCCCATTACGAATTACATATACGCTGGCGGTAAAGTAGTCCGCGAAAGGTAAAGTACTACTTTACGTCCGGCCGTGCATAAAGTAATTAATACTTTCCGGTTTTGACCAAAAACTATACTTCCATTTCATTTTGTTTTTAGTTTTCTTTTACCTTCTTCATTTATCGCTCTATTTTTTTTGTCAAGGTGCTTGGGTAACAGACTTGAAAGCGCGGATCCAATTTTTGAACACATGGGTGGACGAAGGAATACCGCCAGTATTTTGGATATCTGGATTTTATTTTCCTCAAGCTTTTCTCACTGGAACCTTACAAAATTATGCAAGAAGATATGTGGTGTCCATAGACAGCATAAATTTCGCTTTTGAAGTAAGTTTTCGAGAAGACACAACTTATAATAATTGTGTTGGTCAAATTTGGATTGGATCAGTTTTCAAATGGTGTATTTTTAGAGTTGTATATTATCATCTGAGTCTTTCAGGTTCTAAATGACCATCCAAAACAGAGGCAAAACGATGGTTGCTGTATTTGGGGCCTTTTCTTAGAGGGTGCCCGATGGAACCCACTGAAAAATACGCTAGACGAATCTAATCCCAAGGAACTTTATACAGGTGATGACTTTTTCATTGTAAAAGGGTAGGATAATATATTTTAGCTCCTGATGAACATTTCTGGGAAATTGAATATAACTACATAGGTATTTCTTCAGCAAAATTCCTCTGGATATGTGATGGCACAATGGGCGTGTACACCTCAGTAGAACGTTTAACTCAAACCATGTTTATAATGATCCTTTTATACATAAATAATGATTGACGACATAATTCGATCGAAAAATTAACTGGAATGTTTAATTTTTGGACATAAATAATAGTACCTTCTGAAAACGGACCCTCTTATGACGTAGAAACCTCATATCGTCATAGTTAAAAGAAAATACCAAACGCCCGACGGAGACTGGGGCAACTGATATATTAATTTTTTCAACTGTGATCTCGCGCTAATTCACTCTGTCCGAAATCATGTATCATTCATCTCTGTCTGGAATAGTCTTGTTTCAGTATCAGGGTTTTGACGTCACATCATCGCCTCGTTTTCAGAGGTCCGAAAAATCAGGGATTTCAATAATTTTTTATGAAACGTAGGGAGCTCACAGCAAGAAACGGTTTGCGGTGGTGAGCTAGTTTGGGTGAGTTCTATCGAATTATGAAATAAAATTTTTTTGTGATACAAGCCCATTTCATAGATTTTCAAAATGATAGTTTTTCCATGACACAAAATTGAATTATTGAAATAAATTGAGGAATTTCCAGGACACTGAAAATATACCTGAAAATATGTTTTGAAAATGATATTCCTTGTGATATTCCATAAATCATTTGATGTTATTTCAAGTTTTATTCTTTTGTCTTTGCAGAAATGCCCGTGATTTGGCTCAAACCAGAAGAACATCACAAAAAACCAAATGATGTTTATGAATGTCCAGTTTACAAAACCCTCACCAGAGCAGGGGTATTGTCAACTACAGGGCATTCCACCAATTATGTTTTAGCTATAGAGGTACCCAGCACGAAACCAGAACCCCACTGGATAAAAGGAGGTGTTGCACTGATATGTGCATTGGATTATTAATTAATTTAAACTATGATAATATGTTGATATTTATTTTGTAAAACAATTGCCCTCAAAACAAGTGCTGTTTCAATAAATTTGACAGCAATGGGCTGTTATTCAATGAGTTATTTTCTAAAACACATCCTAACAATTTTGGTATATTGATCAATGTACCACTAACAACTTTTGGGTAGTTTCTGCTTTTCTTGACATGACAATTGAATAGCAATCGCTTGCTAATGAAATTTTCATGAAATGATATATTACCTACTTCTACATAGCTTGAATCAAAGTTTGAGAACATTTGTATGGATACCCTTAGACTCTCAGATTTATCTAGTTGATGTGCTGGTAGAAGAACCAACTGAAAATGGTACCCAAGACTCTCATAAAGTATTGAAACTTGTTTTGTGATTGATTCAAAAATGTCCTGATCATCTAAAGTAGCTATAAAAAAATTTACCACTGCTTCCTGGCTCAAGTTGAAAAGATTTTGGGGTGATTCCTTCACAACAGGTTTATATATCTTTCCCAAAGAAAATAATTTCAATGGGAAGTTAGTTTCATTTACTGAATGCCTGGTGAAATATGCCATGAAAGGGTAAAGGGAAGCTGAACCACAAAGGTGCAAGTGATTAATTTCACTCTCCTTGGCATCCAATTCCTGAAGAGTGATAACATCAGGGTTTTCAATGTAACTTTTACCACAGCCTTCAACAACTATACTACGACAAAAACTGGAGTTGGAAAATTGAATGTAACTTGCATCTAGCAGGGACTTTCTGATGAAATTTTGAATGCTTTGTTCAAAAATTGCTGCATCAGACATCAGATAACATGTGAAACTGTCAAAATATTTCAGGTAACCTAATTGTTTTGCAATATTCATATGACTGTCTGATTTTGCTTCTTTATTACTTAAAAATGTATGAATTGGAGTGGGATTCTCAGGAGTTTTATCATGAAGAATGTTGGGTAAATCTAGAATTCTAAGCATAGTATCCTCTTCTATCTCATGATAATACTCTTTGAGATGCTTTAGATCATCTTTGATAATCTTAGCATGAATTTTCAATGTTTCTATATCTTTTTGATCAGCATCAGGGTCTTTCAATAAGACAGCTATAGACTGACCTATTCCTGTCCTTGTCTGCTCTAAAATATTTCTATATTCATTTAGGTTCCTAAAAAAATTCCAACATTTTTCCAACTGGTCTATGTCTATTTTCAAGCATCTCTTCTTGAAATTTTCCCTCAAATATGTCTTATGGAACAATTGTTCATCAAAATCTATAATGGGTGTTAATACAGCAAAATTTTTTTGGGCTTTATCTCCAGTTATGTAAAGAGCAGAAATATGTCTCTGAACTCTCAAACATTTGATAAGGGAAAATATTGTATGAGACCCTTTAAATATCATCATCAACTTTCATTTTTTTACTTGTATTATCAATTGCTTCCTCCTTATCTGTTGAGGGCTGTGTTTCTATCTTCCTTTTAGATGGAGCTTTGAAGCTGCCAAATCCAGCTGCACGCTCTGAATCTTCTATTGTGTATGGCTCAGTCTCCAGTGCTTTCAACCTGCGCTTATGCACTTTGGTCCTGAAGTGATCTTGCAAAGCTGTGGCGTTTATAAAATATCGGGCACAATGCAGACAGTAGTGTTGGGCACCACCTGGTCGGTCGAAATCCACTTCTTGATTTAGAAGTTTTTCTGAATTTTTCTGAAGATCCTCGTCAATCTGAGAAAAATTGATGAGCAAATAATAGATGAATTATCAATACTTGTTACCTCATCCAAATCCTTAGTTCTTCGCTTTGTCCTCCACTTCTTTTTCAAGTGAGTATCTCCCTCATGGTATTTTCTCCTCTTATAAACCATCAGATTATGAAAGTGCTATCAAGTAGAGCACCTGACTGAACCAGAGAAATCTGAGGAAAACAAAAAAAAATTGGTTAGGTAATATAGGTTATGTGAGCACATGTCACGATTTTTGACGTTTGCAGTTTTATCCATGATCCATTCACAGAATCTTCAAGCAGAGGAGATCAGTCACCCACTTCCTTAGATCATTTCAAGTTTCGCCTTGTTGAACTGTCGTTTTGTGAATTTTGATCATTACAGAACGCTGCACTTTATCATGTAACCAGTGATCTGTCCCCTGTATGTTATGCAACTAACAATACATCTAGTTACGACACAAAGTCGTTTTGCTTATCTGGTTATCTCATGATAGTTGAAGACGGCTGTGATATTATTCGTTTTTTTCGAGGTTTTTTTCATACCCAGGGTAATATATCAATCAACGATTTGGTGGAGCGGATAAAGATAAAACAATACGTCTGTAGTAGAACGATGGCAGGAATCAGCTGACGTAGTCAATCAGTATATTGGAAGTATTGGAAGTCAACATTTCTATTAAAATTCTATTTCATTATTTTATACTTCCCATAATTTGAACATGTAGTTGTACCACCACTGAAATCAACCATCTGGATTCTGCAGTCTGCTGCTGTGAGTTCACCGACTTTCCCACACACGGCTGCCACGCCACTCGTTCGTCTGAGTTTCTAAAGATGTCGCTTCGATCGCTTCTGCTTTCTGCTAGTTGTCATTTGAACTAATATTTTATGTTGTCAAAATTATAACATCATATTTTTATAGTTTATTTGAGTAGAAAGTAATAGAACGTAAATTCGGATTTTAATACGAAACTGTTTGTGATTGTTTCCAGTGTTTTTCACGTGTAGTTGAAGTTTCGTCGAGGGCACAGCCAAAGACTACAAAATTAAATCGTGCCTGAACAATAACGGGGAACCGGCAGCCATGTTGTGAAGTCTTGTCAAGCATCATGGGTTAAAACTGTGAAGTGTAAAATACGGAATTCCTTCTAAAAAATTCTGATAAAATCATGGAAGAGACCGCGATTTGCTTTAAACATTGAACCCTCGAAGAGGCAGTGATAGTGGAGCCGATAGCGGCCGCGGAAACGATGTTTCTGCGCAATATTACGGTCAGAGTGGATCCAACGTCGTGCTAACTAGCGCAGGGAGTCGTCTTTCGTCTACTGCTGGCCAACGACTGCAAGGCCCAGCTCCCAGCATCCCCAATTGCGGGAGGTGAGCTAATAAACGGACGTCGGGACCGTTGTTCTAGCGTCTTGGGGTAGCCCCCGATGCCGGTTTCGGCGCTATGACACGTGCAGTGCTGTAAACAAGGATTTCGCCCTGCCATGGCCAAAATTCTTGGCAAGGACCAGTCCACTTATTTGAAGGAACGCGATGCATTTCTTCGTGATCTGCAGCACTTCCATGAGATTCGGGGGTAAGTTTATGAGTTTCTTAATCGGCAAAGTGATGATTTCTCTTGAACAAGGAACAATGAAGAAACGGTTATTAACGATTTTTGCGTCATTACAGGACGCCATTCAAGCGGCCCCCTACTCTCGGTGGCAAGGAGGTCGACCTGTACCTTCTTTATAATCTGGTTATTTCACAAGGAGGATGGCTTAGGGTGAGTAATTTTTTTATGAGTACCTACCATACCTAGACAGCTGTGAGGTATTACTTGTCATATTCATTAATCTGTGTCCTTGAAAAAGTATGCCTCCATTTATACAAAATTAGCTAAATAGTTGTTTTTGGTTAATAGCATAATAGGGTTATCATGATCATTGATATCATCTAACACTCTAACAAGTTAGGCTGTTCAATTTGCAAGGTCAAAGCAACTATAAAGAACTCCCAAATGTAGGTATAGGACCTACCATTTTTATTTTCATTTATACCTAACTACCTGAATTTGAATAGGTATTCTATAACCAATCAGCTTCATTTCAGTTCTGATCATCCTCTAGAAGATTGATGTGAAGGTATATTATGTAGATAGGTATGAGAAACTAAATGAAGCAAAAAATTATTTTCCAAATCATTCATGTGGACTTGCCATGACCAAATCCATTTTGTCTCTATTATTATTTTCTTGATTCCTGAAGTTTTTCATTTGTAATCTATGGAAAGGTGTTTTACATGAGTTTTACAAACTATTCAAAATTTTATCAACAAAAAATGTTCAATAGTCTATTTGAATGGTTCTATTTTATATGAATTTTTCATTTTTGTTATCTACATTCCATATAGGTAATTACATAACATATTCTGCTCTAAATATATCATTGCTTGGTACATAGATTATTATCTAAGATTATTTTATTATTATATTGTGTTTCATCAAAAGTGAATTCATTATTTCATAATGGGTCCGCCGATTTTCAAAGTTTTTTTTTAATAGCTACATGATAGTGTGCATTATGGTAACAAATAAGCCCCCAAATCAGATGAATGCCAAAATGACAAGTTTTAATAGGTTTCATAAAAAAAAGCCATCATACTACCTAGTGTGTGAATTGATACAATAGGTGACTCAATCTCATCACATTGGCATCACATGTTCTTCCTTAAAAAATGATGTCATTTTTGAGGTCTTTTTTGTCTTATCTTAGTAGGCTTTTGAGGAGGAGCAGAGTTTGTTTTTTGTGTGTACATAAAGCCATCTATTAGCTGGTTCATGTTCTGTGTAGGCTTTGTTACTGACTCCGTACGCTACCTTAGGAGGAACACTGTTGATCAGAATGACCGGGAGTGACTTTCAATTTTTGTTTTTCTCAGTTGAAGCTTGAACGAATTTTTATTTTTCAAAATGGCTGAGATAATTCATTGAAACAGGTATACTGGGACACCCGGTATACCCTGGAAAAATGTAGCAATTTTTTTCTCGTGGGAAAAAAGGTAAGATATGAGAAGTGACATTTTGTAATCTGTCGAACAGACATTAAATGTCAAACCTTCCCGTCACAGAAAAAAGTATATTATCGCTTCCAAATCAACAACAGTTCAATTTATTTACCAAACTCACAGCACCACTGGACAAAACGAAAATATGATCTGACTCTGGATAACCTTGAAGAATTCCATTGGCAATATCAGAATTGAGCTATCTTCCCTGCCAAAGCGGAAAAATCGATGAATATCGAAATATCCATAGTTATCCATATATCAATATGATATATTCATACCAAAGGTCATAAAATCTTCAATCAAACTAATTGAATCAGCATAAAAACTACCTACCAATGCAACATATTTTCATGCCAGAACAAACCTTTGAAAAAATGAAAATTAATTTCGAAAATAATCAAAACTATTGTCTGGATATTACAAAAGCGTGTAGAATTCTAAAAAATAAATTGATTATTTCCAATTATATTGAGAAGAAATCGATATTTAATGATATCGGAATTTTGAAATTTTCTGAACAGAATATTGTTAGGCTTCAAAAAGGTCAATTTTTCTCTAGTTCAACCATCTTTATATTATATCCCTTATATAGTTTCCGAGATCCCCATGATAGACGTCCTTATCTTGGTCATGCTGGTCATGGTGTATAAAATATAATTTATTCAGTTTCATGGTCCCAATTTGTTGTAATCAATACAAAATGATCTGAAAATAAGAACAATAAGAAGAGCAAGTGAAAATTATTTCAAATATCTCGAATTATTTTTATGATTTTCTCCCATACTTTCATTACATGAAAATATCTCAATTAGGTTGAAGATTATATTAACTACTGGATGAGTGGTGATAATGATTTTTCAATTTTCCAATTTAGCGAAATAATTCAGAGATTTCCTAATTCACAAAAATTTTTGCATCTCATCCAATTCAACAACTATCACTAATACATCAGTCTATTGTAAATAATTTGTTATGATGTGTTATTATTTCATTGATATTGTTAAATTGCTACCAATTTTTATATTTCAGGTAAATTTGTTATCTGCTTCCATATTCAGGTATATTTGATGTATAATATAGTCTGATATACTATTTATATGTATATACTATTATACTGGATGATGTTTCGAATATTTTGAAGTATTATATAATAATAATAATAATAACATTTATTGATCCCAAGAGACATACAATGTTTATAGAGGGAAACAACAAAAAAATAAAATAAAATCAAATATGCAATACAATGAAAGATAAACAGTTCAATCAAAATTAATTGATACAAGAGGAGAGTTAAATTGATAAAATATATTTATTCAGTTCATACTTAAATTTTGTGACGAATCTAATAGATTTTATTCTGTTGGGTAGACTATTATAAATATTTATTCCACAAAAATACAATGATTTTTTCCCGAATTGGGGGGGAAATTTAACAGTTTTCAAATTTTCACTTTGTCTGGTGTGATGCTCATGGGTATCAGAATTGATATTGAAAGTAAGATTCGAGTGCTTTTTCTTATGTTTAGTGAAATGAATGAAAATGCATACTTTCATTCTGAAGAGAGAGTCAATATCTAGTAGATCTCTTGGTTTGTATAGTCTAGATGTTGATTCCAGAAATGGTAGTTATAAATATATTTTATGGCTTTATTTTGAAGAGATTTCAGAGGTTTCAAAACAGATTTTGCTGCAGTACCCCATATCGATATCAGATACTGCAATTTAGAGTAAATCAAACTGAAATAAATTAATTTCAAGTATTTAAGAGGTATAAAAGACCTCAATTTGTATAATATACCAATAATGGGAGATATTTTTTTCCTGAGCAATTATTGAATATGCCATGACCAAGATAGAGTCTGGTCTATAGTTAAACCTAAGATTTTGGAGTTTTTTGTAGGATTTATACAAAAATTCCCGAATTTTAACGGATCTATTTGGTTATCAGGTATAACTCTTTTCAAGATGAACATAAAAGAAGATTTATCGAAATTGAGTGTCAATTTATGATCTTGTAACCATAATGTTATTGAAGCGAGATCTTGTTCCATTTGGTTTTTTATTTCTTGTATATTTTTTCCGTAATAAATGAATACTGGTGCAATACTGATATATTATATCGTCATGTGGATACTGGAAAGTTCTGAGTAGAATCAATGTCATGAGGGGGGGGGTACAAATAATGAACAAATTCTTTGGACTAACATTCTTGGGGGGGGGGGGGTAGTTTTCCCCATTCCCCCCATATCGACGCCCTTGGTGTGATGCCGTGGTCGTCTCACACTAAACTGATAATTTTCTCCGCATAATTCAGGTTGTCTGAAAAATAGTCAAATTCGATGTGCTGCACAGCGTGACAACTGCATAGTAGTTCCTTCCGCGCAGTTGCCAGATGTCAAAATATTTCCCCAAATCTCGGAAAATGATCCGATAGCAGTTCCGAGTGCTGTGGTGATCTATGAATGAACGCGACACGCGACCAAACGTATACAGGGCACTCTGTCGAACGGGGCAACGGCTCGTACACCCGTACACGTATAGATTGTCAGTCACCCCGACAAGTGAGCCAGCAAAAATTTCTTCTACCGTCTCCCCCCCCACTCCTCTCACGTGGTACGCGGCAACCGATCGCTGCTTGGACTAGGTCAGGGTCGCCAGAGAATCGTTTGCGTGTGTTCCCGTTCTCTCCTATGTTTTTCGCCGCCGTGTGTATACGGAATACTGTGACGGAATAGAGATTGGAGAGTGCCGCGTGCTGCTGCGATTCTGCGAAGGATCGGAGATCGGAGGATATCGGACGGCCAGACATGTCACTGGGGGCGAGGGTCTATCGGTCTATACTCTATAGTCTATAAGCACATAAGGAAGTGAGTCTGTCTGGTCCGTTGGTCGCGAGACTGCCACGGCGGCACGTGGGGTCGGTAGGTTTGTCGAACGGCGGCGGAGCAAAAAGTGGGAAAAGTTCCCTCGCCCCTGCATGCCTGCTATGGAAATAGTCGGAAATAGTAGATTGTTTTATTAGGATCAAAAGTGACACTTTGTTTGACAAGCGAATTTTGCATTTGCGAGGCGGAGCGTTTAGCGAATTTGAGAAGAAGGAGCTAGAAGTTTGTGGTATCAATGAATTCATAAGCTTCGATTCCCATCTAGCTCCTTCTTCTCAAATATATGATCTTCACAAACGTACTGACCTAACTTGAGCGTAGCCCCGTTGAATTTTCTATCAAATGCTGTTTCTATCAAGTGTATTTCCTATCAAATATTTTTCCTATCAATTGTATTTTCTATCATAAAACATTCAATCAAATGCATTTCTATCAAAAACACTTTCGATCAAAAGACTTCTATCAAATGTGTTTCTATCATTTGTCTTTCGATCAAATTTCCGCCACCCCTCATTGAGCAAACATCCAAGAAATCATTTATTTCTAAATGTTTAACAACAATCAAGACTTTTCAAGCCAGTTCAACACAATTTTTTGAATTGCTAAGCATATTACTACTTTCGAACTATGTTTTTTGACGTTGTAGAAAAAATGTTGTTCGCTACCAAAGTGGCATTTTGCGCACTAATTAAAAAAAATTTTTATGAACATTGTGTGGAAATGACTTTGAGCTTTTTGTATTTATTTATCATATTTAAATTAATATGCACAGAAAAAAAATGCGAGAAAGGCATATTTTGTAGTTGTGTTTACAGTCGGATGCCACAAG